ATTTTCTCCGAGGTATTAACATACAAGACAATGTGTAATTGCCGTGGTGCTACAATAAGGGCATCGCTTGCATTGTCTGGGCACCTATAGGTGGTCTTGTGCCACACAAATTGTTTAAAAAACCCAGAGGTGTGACTATCCTCTTCGAAAAATAACGCCACCTCGATTGCGTCACAATCTATTCGAAAACACTAAAACTCCTTTTTTGGCACGTTTATCGCCGGCTGTTGACGAAACGTCGACCATTAATCTAAATCCTCGTCAATTAAGGTGCGTGATAAGGGATATTTTCGTCCACGAGAATGTCTACAACAATTACAATTTTCGGTGTGGAATTATTCCGCTTTCGATACATTAAATAAACGTTGACAAATCTCGACGAAATCAACGCCATCATCCGGTCCTTCACTCGTCATTATTACCAGTAATCTGTGTAGCATTTCGTAATCAAAAACGAGCGCACGTTGTAAATTCCAAAGCGGGCTCATCTACAGCGGCACGACTTGAGTTAGACTCGGAGAAAAAAGTTCGGGCTGGAGGGTTCATAGCTTAGGTTCGAAAAATATGAAGCCACTTTTGACTTTGTTTTAAACTCAATGAAGTGGAGAATGGAGGCGGACAGGGCTAAGTTTAGATTTTTTATATAGTCGTACAAGCAAGCAGTAGCCCCGCCCACCCACCCCCGCTTCATTCAGTGACTACTCTTAATATTGTTAATTAATAACAACGTTTTTATTTTATTAGAATTTTAGACAAATTTGTTAAACATTGCTGAGAAAATAGACAAATTGTTAAACAAGATATCTAAAAAGTGTTAAGCTGGTGTTATTTAAAAAGCAACATCACCGATGCTCCTTCTTACACAAGCTCCACCTTAATAAATCATTTCATTGGCCCGCAGAAGAGGGGCGGAGTTTACGATTGAATCTCATTGCTTCTATCTTCCTAGCAGCGCCAATAAAATGTGAAACTTTTTTCTACAGTCGTATCAGCAAGCAGTAGCCCCACCCACCCACCCCGTCTTCATTCTAGTGACCATTCTTAATATTGTTAATTATTGACAACGTTTTATCTTATTAAAATCTGTTGTACACGCAACATCGCACGCAAATGTTTTGAGCCTATGGGCGGATCGTTTTTGCCTGCCCTCACCGAAGAAGGCGGTCCAAATCCTTCAAGGGCAGAATTTGTAGGTAGGCTCAAACTACAACGAAATTCACATTTTACACTATAAAATTTTATTGACAATAACGGGACGGACAGTAGTTATATATACATTTGCTAAGAAATATTTATGGCTCACACCAGTTCTCTGGAAAAAATCAAAATTATAAAACAATATTTTGCAATTTAATTTTGAATTTGCAAAATCGAATACTTTGAAATCTTGCAGATGTTTTAAAATCATGATAAACATGATACATTTTTAATTAAAATATATTTGCTTATCCCCTCTAAAAAATTTTTGACGTCACCTCAAAATTTTACAGATTAAATCCTATCTTAAATGTATAAAATATGATGAGTTTTATACTTATCACTGCATTAATATTTTTTAGATTTGGTTATACAGGTGTCTCAAAAAAGTTAATGACTGAGTCAATTTATTTTATTGAAGAAATCAAGAATGGCAAAACTGAATACTTTGAAATATTGTAGATGTTTTGAAGTTTTTGTAAGCATGGTAACTTTTTCGAAAATTTGATTAATCAAATATGCGCAAAATCAAAAATCGGAAAAACTGAAATTCACTAATGCAAAAAACAGAAAATCGAAAAATACAAATCGTAAAAATCGAAAATCTAAAAATGGCTAATCAAAAAATCGAAAATTCAATGAATCAAATACCTAGGTCGATCGAAAAGTGGAAATTCACAAACCTCAAAAATCGAAAAATCGAAAATTGAAAAACGGGAAAACCAAAAAATCGAAGTCAAAAATTTGTAATATTGAAAATTAAAAAAATCAAAAACAAAAATAAAAAAAATCGGAAATTAAAATAATCAAAATATATAAAGTAAAAAAATTGCAAAGCCTAAGAACTGAAACGAACAGAAAAATCGAAAAAGCAAAACATTGGAAAAACAAAAATTCGAAAAATCTAAAATCGAAAAAGTGAAAAATCGAAAATCTGAATAAAGAAACTTGGAAATTCTGAAAATTGGAAAATCGAAAACCAAAAAATCGGAAAGTAACAAAATTGAAGTCTAACAGTTGAGAATGAAAAAATTCAAAAACCGAAAATTCTAAAAATCGACAATGGACAAATTGCAAATCGCAAAATTTAAATTGAAAAATTGAACATAGAAAAATCGATGAATTGAAAAATCGAAAATTCGACTACTCAAATTTTCTAAAAATCGAAAAATCATAAAACTGAAAAATCCAAAATTCTAATCATCGAAAGTCTGAAAACTGAAAATCGAAAATTCCGAAAAGCGGAAAATAGAATATCGAAAAATTTAAAAGAAAGAAAATTGAAGTCTAAAAACCGAAGAATGGAAAAATTAAAAATCAAAAATTCGAAAAATCAAAATCGAAAAATTCAAAGATTTAAAAAGAAAATCGAAAAATCAAAAATCTGAAAATTGAAACTCGAAAATTTGGAAAATCGAAAAGTAAAAAAATTGAAGTCTAAAAGCTGAAAAATGGAAAACTGAACAATCGAAAATTCGAAAATCAAATATCGAAAAATCGAAAAGCCGAAAAATCGAAAATTTGATAAATCAGATATGCGAAAAATAGAAAATCTGAAAATACAAAACTGGAAAATCAAAAATCTAAAAATGGAAAAACCGAAAATCGAAAATTCAATGAATCTAATACGTAGGTCGATCGAAAAACTGGAAATTCATAAATCTGAAAAATCGAAAATTTGCAAGATTGAAAAACCGAGAATTGAAAAATCAAAAAACCGAAAAATGGAAAAATCAAAAATCGAAAAATAGGAAAACCGAAAATTCGAAAATTCATAATATTGAAAACTCTAAAAGTCGACAATTCAAAAATCAAAAAACTGGAAAAAAATAATCGACAAATCGAAAAGTAAATAAATTGCAAAGCCTAAAAACTGACGAACAGAAAAATCGAAGATTGGAAAATCGAAAAATCGAAAATCGGAATATCGAGAATCGACAAATTAAAAAACCAAAAAATCGAATAATTAAAAAATCGGAAATCGGAAATCGAAAAATGAAAAAAAAAAAAACGAAAATTCAAAAATCGAATAATCCGAAACTAAAATAATAGAAAAGTGGAAAAGTAAAAATTGCAGTCTCAAAACTGACGAACAGAACAATCGAAAAATAAAAAAAAATCGAAAAATATTTAAACATGGAAAATCGAAAAATCGAAAATCGGAAAATGAAAACTCGAAAAATCGAAAATTCGATGAAACAAATACTCGAAAAAGCGAAAAGTAAAAAAATTGAAAGGCCTAAAAATTGAAAAATCAGAAAATCGAAAAAATGAAAATCGAAAAAACGACGATCGAAAAAAAATCAAAAAATCGAAAAGTGGAAAATCGGAAAGTAACAAAATTGAAATTTAAAAGCTGCAAATTGCAGAACCATAAAAACTGAAATAAACAGAAAAATGGAAAAACCACAAAAGCGGAAAAACGAAAATCGAAAAATCGTAAAATCAGAAAATGGAAAATCGAATAATCGAAAGTTGAAAAATCGAAGGTCGAAAAATAAAACAACCGAAAAATCGAAAAATTTTATGATTAATGGAAAATCGAAAAATCGAGAATAGAATTAAAAAACCGGAAAATTGAAAAATTGGAAATCGAAGAATTAAAAACGTAAAATCGAGAATTCAAAAATCAAAAAAATCGAAAAGTAAAATATAATCGAAAAATGCAAAAAATTGCAAAGTCTAAAACTGACGAACAGAAAAATCAAAAAATCTAAAAATGGGAAGACGAAAAATCGAAAATTGAAAGAATGGCAACTTAAAAAATCGAAACATCGAAAAATCAAAAAAACGAAAAATTAAAAAATCGAAAAACGAAAAAACTGAAAACTCGAAAAATCAAAATACCGCAAATTTGAAAAATCAGAAAACTAGAAAGTAATAAAATCGAAAAGTTGATAGAAAAATGGAAACTGAAAAATCTAATTCGATGAAACTGTTGGTCGAAAAAACGAAAAATCGAAAATCGAAGTGACCTTTTTTTTAGACAGGCTGTATAAGTAAATCTAAAAAATATTACTGCAATGATAAATCACAAGTATAGACGACCGGCAAAAATCATCCGCCCATAGGCTCAAAACCGTTGCTCAGAAAATAATCAAATTGTTAAACAAGGTATCTGGAATAATTTAAATTATTCAGCCGTTTGGTGGATGACACGAATTTAGTAGTTTTAATTTATTTTAAAATACAAAACACAACATTCCACATGAATAAACATCAATAGTTCGAACGGGAATTCATATCAACTAAATTATTAACCTCGATTATGAAAAAGTTATATCATGTTTATTGAAAAATCCCGATAAAAATTCGATTATGGCAAACTATTATTGTCAGTCGCAATAAAAACGTAAAAACACGTCTACTAAAATTTTACGACGCTATAATAACACTGCCGCTACAATCTTCAACAAAAAAAGAAACCCGATCTCACTCCCTGACCGATTTATGATCGGAAAATGAAATTTCTACCTTTCGCTTTCCTGGTTAAGAATAAAATTTTACTGTGGCCCAAGATTTTGTCGACGGGTTTATTCGTGCGCGGGGACCGAGGGGCCCAGACCCGCCCCGCCTCAGGCTCAACCACCTGTCTTGATGATGTCTTCATTTAGTTGCGCCGAAGGGCGCGTTTCTCATCAACCGAAGCAATTTAAGATTATGAAAAAACGCACCATCGAAATATTAACAATAGCCAACCCACGGACTACCATCTAATCTCGTTACGGCGTGATCTCGCCTACTCTTTTGTAACCCGAGAAATATTTCACGGTTGGCTAGATCGGGAAAAATGAAACACCAAATCGAACGAAACGCTTTATTGGGGCAAACTGTCGACTTCGTACTTCTCGAGTACCGCGCGCGTGAGTATGCATTTGGTCATGTGACAGCTGCAGTACTCGGGGTGCGGTACTTCCTCGGGGTCCAGCATGGTCACTTCGATGTTGTAGCGACGCGGGTTTTCGCTGGATCTGGCCAATGAGAGTTCGTACACCATGGGGGATTTTTCCTCCACTTCTAGTTCTGTGGGGAGTACTATCGTGGTTTGCTGCCAATGGGTGGGTGGGTCTTCGGGAGACGTGGATAATGTTATGGGTTCGGTGACGAAAGAGGGGAAAGTGCAGCTGAACCAGAGGCAGATCCCTTGGTACTTGCCGGCTTTGGAGGCAACAGCGACGTGTTGTATTTTGGCGGTACTTACGTCGTCTGGAGTGACCTCGCGCAGGTCTAGCCAGAGCACGACTTCAGGGTCCGCCAGGACGTTCTCCAGTGGTACCAGAGTGGTACTGGGTTTGTGAGAGTTCTCGGCGCGGATTTTCGCACCCACGCTCTTCATAGATACCCCTTCGATGTTGGTCCAGGTGTCGAACATGTCTGGAACGCTACAAGATCTGGGTATTTTTTTACAAAACGAGCGCAAACGTACGAGCACGGAGCCGAATAAAGAGTCGCCGACTCGGGGAAGACCAGACCTCCAGGTTTGAGGAATTTGTCTCTAGCCAGGATCACCGAGTCCAGCATGGCTTCGTGCAGGAGGTAGAAACCCATCCATTCCGACACTATAATGTCGACTTTTTCCGGGAGGGTGGCATCCTCAACTCTGGAATGGATTATCTGGAAGAACACACATTCGTGCACTCCACTCGAAAAAGCCGATTATATCACACTTCCGATAAGATAAACTAAATCACGTTTTAATTACTCACCGTCACGACTTCTTCAAATCCGTTTTCTTTCACTACTTCCGCGGCGATTTCAGCTACATTACTGGCCTCCACGGCGTAAACCCTCGCCGCCCCAGCTTGGGCACAAAAAACCGACAAAATCCCGGTACCAGCACCCACGTCTAGTACCGTCCGTCCTCTAAATTGATCCTTATTGTCAAAAATAGCCTGCTTATAAGCTCTATTCCTCGGAACATCCTTCAACATCAATTGATGGATCTGAAACAATACCTCAATGATAATCCCCCGATAACACTCTGATAAGGTGTAATTTTCGGGCTTTCTGCCATTCATCATCATTCATCACGATGGCGAAGGCGCAAGTGTACAAGGTGGCGAAAATTTTCGATGGGGAGATCAGAGAAACAGACTTGACTTTGGTGGAGGAGGAGCTGCCACCACTGGAAGATGGAGGTGAGTACCACTATAGTACCGGAAGCTTTAACCGACTTTCAGAATTCTTGGTGGAAAACTTGTACCTCAGCGTCGACCCGTACATGCGCGCCTACGCCAGTAGCTACTCAGTGGGGCAAGTCATGATCGGGATCCAAGTGGCAAAGTGAGTACCACCCCCAAAACCCACGACACTGACCCAAATTTTCCAGAATCGCCGAATCCAAAAACCCCGGCTTCCCCGTAGGTGAGATCGTCGTCGGTGACCTGGGCTGGCGCACCCACACCATTATCAAAGAATCCCATAATCAACACCTGTATCTCCTGCCTGATATCGGCAATTTACCCAAATCTCTAGCTTTGGGTGTGCTTGGAATGACCGGTATAACCTCTCTGTACGGGTTTTTGGACATCTGCAACCCCGAAGAGGGAGACACCGTCGTTATAACCGGCGCCGCTGGCGCCGTCGGCAGTCACGTGGGCCAAATTGCCAAAATCAAAAAATGTCGGGTCATCGGGATCACCGGCTCGGAAGAAAAAGCCCGCTGGTTGGAGTCCATAGGGTTTGACTACGTCATCAACTACAAAACCACCAAGGACTTGGCAGGGGAATTGAGAAAAGGAGCCCCGAAAGGGATTGATTGCTACTTTGATAACGTGAGTACGGGGTACTTGTTGTACCGGTTTAACCCGTTTGTGTAGGTTGGGGGCGACATTAGTACCACCGTCATGGGGTTGATGAACATCGGAGGACGCGTCTCTGTGTGTGGGTCCATTTCGGGCTACAACATGAAAGTACCACTTCGAGGTATAAACCCACTTGGTTGGTACTTATAGTAATAAGTGTGTTTTAGCGGCGATTGTGCAGCCCGCCATTGTCCAAAAGCAACTAAGGGTGCAAGGGTTCCACGCCACCCAGTTTCGCGACCGCTGGATCAATGGAATTAAACAAAACCTTCAATGGGTTCAAGAAAACAAACTCAAGTACCGCGAGACCATTTACGATGGGTTCGAGAACGCCACAAAGGCGCTGATTGGAGTCATGAAGGGCGAAAACACGGGGAAGGCACTAGTGAGGGTGAAGGCGTCCCACGTGGAGAACGAATCCTTGGACTTTAACAACGCGCTTACTAAATTCAAGAAGTTCCAAAGGGCTTGAGTTACTACAATAAAATTTATTTCTGTATTGAGTTTTGTTTATACCAGGTTGACCTTTGATACCTCGTGATTACCTATAATTGCCAAATAACTACACCACTCCAAAACACAAATATTTTTTTATCTCATCGTTCCGATAGTGCAGATACCATTACTAGCCGTGATTTGCAAAACCATTCATCATAATTCATCAAAATGGTGCGGGCACAAGTATTCACGGTTGCCAAAATTTTTGACGGGGAGATCAAAGACACCGATTTGAGTCTCCAGTTCGAGGAATTAGCACCCTTGGAGGATGGCGGTGAGTACTACTTCGGTACCAAAATCAAAATCTGGATTCTTAAATCGTAGAGTACTTGGTCGAGTGTCACTACCTCAGCGTGGACCCTTTCATGCGGGCGTACGCCGGCAGCTACACCATAGGTCAAGTCATGATCGGAATTCAAGTAGCCAAGTCAGTACTACTAACATTGGTACCCCAAAACCTGCTACCACGAAATTTTGCAGAATCATCGAATCGAAAAACTCTATTTTCCCGGTAGGTGAAACGATCGTCGGAAATCTGGGCTGGCGTACCCATTCTATCGTCAAACCGACGGACGATTGTGACATCTATATTTTGCCCGACATCGGTACTTTACCCCTTTCGGCAGCTCTAGGTGTGATTGGAGCTACTGGCATTTCCGCCTACTTTGGGTTTCTAGATATTTGCAAACCCGTTGAAGGTGACACGGTAGTGGTGACCGGCGCCGCAGGCGCCGTCGGCAGCATCGTCGGCCAAATCGCCAAAATCAAAGGTTGTAACGTCATAGGAATCACCGGATCTGAAGACAAAGCGCACTGGCTGGAGTCCCTCGGTTTCGACTACGTCATCAACTACAAAACCACGAAGAATTTAGCTGAAGACTTGAAAATCGGAGCACCCAAAGGAATCGACTGCTATTTCGACAACGTGAGTACCGAGTTATTAAATATCAATAACGTACCACGTTTCGGCAGGTTGGCGGTGATATGAGTACTATCATCATGTCGCAGATGAATGTGGGTGGACGCGTCTCGGTTTGTGGATCGATTTCGTCATACAACGCGAGAACTCCAGCCAGAGGTACTACTTATCAAAAGTCTGATTGCTATCAAATCGATTAAAATTTTAGCTTTGATCGTCCAGCCGGTTATCGTTGGAAAACAATTAAGTTTGCAGGGGTTCGTCCGGCGCCAGTTCAAAGAGCGCTGGATGGTGGCCATCAAACAAAATCTTCAATGGGTGCAGGAAAATAAATTGAAACATCGCGAGACCATCACGCATGGGTTCGAAAACACCCTGAAGGCGCTGGTTGGGGTTATGAAAGGAGAAAACGTAGGGAAGGCGGTGGTTAGAGTGAAGGGGTCACAAATTGAGACCGAGTCCTTAGATTTCAATAGCGCTCTCAGCAAATTTAAGAAATTCCAAGGCCAATAATGAATGTACTTGATTAAAAATATAATTTGTTTTTTAATTTGGAGATTAATCTTATCATTTTACTCACAGCAGGTGATAGAGTATGTAAATATCACTATCGGTACGATAAGGTACAATCGCACGCAAATGTTTTGAGCCTATGGGCGGATCACTTTTGCCCGTCGTCACTGAAGGAGGCGGTCCAAATCGTCCAAGGGAAGAATTTGTAGGTAGGCTCAAACGACAAGGAAATTTACGTGTTGACCAAATTTTTACTCTGAATTAGTTTTAATTTTATAAATACCCTATCTAAAGTGTTCAGAATATGATGAGTCTATACTTGTGATTTACCATTCCATTTATATTTTTTGGATTTGTTTATACATACAAGGTGACTCAAAAAAAAATGACTGAGTATGAATTTATACATTTTATTAAGAAATCAAGAATTGCAAAACTGAATACTTTGAAATCTTGTCAATTAGTTGGAACCTGAGCCCCCTTTTTTTTGCAATATCTGTGATGTGCTATTAGTTTCCGTAACTTATAAAATTAGAAAAAAAAACCTGTTCTGCTCAAATAAAATCGAGAATATGCTCAAAATCACACTAATATTAGGTCTAATTGTCCCGACCACAGTTATAAAATTCACATTAAAATAAGTCACGGACATTTTTTGAAGAGTACTACATTTCAAAAAACAAAAAAAAATTCAGTTTATAAACTTCATAATTTTGGTTTAAAGTTTATCAATCATGTTTGACGCTTTATTTTATCCGTTCCATTTGTTATCCTTTACTGCGGTCTCTCTTGGGTCGAGGTGTAACACCGGACCGAACGTTCTTCGACCGATAGGATAATTTATTACTTCCGACATCTTTTCGGTGACAAATTTAATATTCGCATACTTCAGCGTAGTTAGTGAACTCGTTGTGACCACTGAAATATACAAAGAGTAAATTTTGAAATGGAACGAAAGTCGAAGAATACTTTCAAAGCCACGATCAAAATGTATTTGCTTATCTTCGCCAAAAAATGCATGACGTCATCGTAAAATTTGATATGATGAGTCTATACCTGTGATTTATTATTGCAGTAATATTTTTTAGATTTACTTATACAGCCTGTCTCAAAAAAAGGTCGCTTCGACTTTCGATTTTTCGTTTTTTCGACCAACAGTTTCATCGAATTAGATTTTTCAGTTTCCATTTTTCTATCAACTTTTCGATTTTATTATTTTCTAATTTTCTGATTTTTCAAATTTGCGGTATTTTGATTTTTCGAGTTTTCAGTTTTTTCGTTTTTCGATTTTTTAATTTTTCGTTTTTTTGATTTTTCGATGTTTCGATTATTTAATTTGCCATTCTTTCAATTTTCGATTTTTCGTCTTTCCATTTTTAGATTTTTTTATTTTTCTGTTCGTCAGTTTTTAGACTTTGCAATTTTTTTGCATTTTTCGATTATTTTTTATTTTCCGATTTTTTTGATTTTTGAATTCTGGATTTTACGTTTTTAATTCTTCGATTTCCGATTTTTCAATGTTCCGGTTTTTTAATTCTTCTATTCTCGATTTTTCGATTTTCCATTAATCATAAAATTTTTCGATTTTTCGGTTGTTTTATTTTTCGACCTTCGATTTTTCAACTGTCGATTATTCGATTTTCCATTTTCTGATTTTACGATTTTTCGATTTGCGATTTTTCGATTTTCGTTTTTCCACTTTTGGGGTTTTTCGATTTTTCTGATTGTTTCAGTTTTTATGGTTCTGCAATTTGCAGCTTTTAGATTTCAATTTTGTTACTTTCCGATTTTCCACTTTTCGATTTTTTGATTTTTTTTCGATCGTCGTTTTTTCGATTTTTTGATTTTTCAATTTTTAGGCCTTGCAATTTTTTTACTTTTCGCTTTTTCGAGTATTTGTTTCATCGAACTTTCGATTTTTCCAGTTTTCGATTTTCGATTTTTCGGTTTTTCCATTTTCCGATTTTCGATTTTTCGATTTTCCATGTTTAAAGATTTTTCGATTTTTTTTTATTTTTCGATTGTTCTGTTCGTCAGTTTTGAGACTCTGCAATTTTTACTTTTCCACTTTTCTATTATTTTAGTTTCGGATTATTCGATTTTTGAATTTTCGTTTTTTTTTTCATTTTTCGATTTCCGATTTTTTAATTTTTCGATTTTTCGGTTTTTTAATTTGTCGATTGTCGATATTCCGATTTTCGATTTTTTGATTTTCCAATCTTCGATTTTTCAATTTCCAGTTTTCGATTTTCCACTTTTTGATTTTACGATTTTTCGATTTTTCTGTTCGTCAGTTTTTAGGCTTTGCAATTTGTTTACTTTTCGATTTTTCGATTATTTTACTTTCCAGTTTTTTGATTTTTTTATTGTCGACTTTTAGAGTTTTCAATATTATGAATTTTCGAATTTTCGGTTTTCCTATTTTTCGATTTTTGATTTTTCCATTTTTCGGTTTTTTGATTTTTCAATTCTCGGTTTTTCAATCTTGCAAATTTTCGATTTTTCAGATTTGTGAATTTCCAGTTTTTCGATCGACCTACGTATTAGATTCATTGAATTTTCGATTTTCGGTTTTTCCATTTTTAGATTTTTGATTTTCCAGTTTCGCATTTTCAGATTTTCTGTTTTTCGCATATCTGATTTATCAAATTTTCGATTTTTCGGCTTTTCGATTTTTCGATATTTGATTTTCGAACTTTCGATTGTTCAGTTTTCCATTTTTCAGCTTTTAGACTTCAATTTTTTTACTTTTCGATTTTTTGGTTTTCGATTTTTGAATTTTCAGAATTTTCAAGTTTCTTTATTCAGATTTTCAATTTTCCACTTTTTCGATTTTAGATTTTTCGAATTTTTGTTTTTCCAATTTTTTGCTTTTTCGATTTTTCTGTTCGTTTCAGTTTCTAGGCTTTGCAATTTTTTTTACTTTATATATTTTGATTATTTTAATTTCCGATTTTTTTATTTTTGTTTTTGATTTTTTTAATTTTCAATATAACAAATTTTTGACTTTTCGATTTTTTGGTTTTCCCGTTTTTCAATTTTCGATTTTTAGATTTTTAAGGTTTGTGAACTTCCACTTTTCGATCGACCTAGGTATTTGATTCATTGAATTTTCGATTTTTTGATTAGCCATTTTTAGATTTTCGATTTTTACGATTTGTATTTTTCGATTTTCTGTTTTTTGCATTAGTGAATTTCAGTTTTTCCGATTTTTGATTTTGCGCATATTTGATTAATCAAATTTTCGAAAAAGTTACCATGCTTAGAAAAACTTCAAAACATCTACAATATTTCAAAGTATTCAGTTTTGCTATTCTTGATTTCTTCAATAAAATAAATTGACTCAGTCATTAACTTTTTTGAGACACCCTGTATAACCAAATCTAAAAAATATTAATGCAGTGATAAATCACAAGTATAAAACTCATCATATTTTATACATTTAAGATAGGATTTATTCTGCAAAATTTTGAGGTGACGTCATAAATTTTTTAGAGGGGATAAGCAAATATATTTTAATTAAAAATGTATCATGTTTATCATGATTTTAAAACATCTGCAAGATTTCAAAGTATTCGATTTTGCAAATTCAAAATTAAATTGCAAAATATTGTTTTATAATTTTGATTTTTTTTTTCCAAAAATCTGGACGTTTCGGATAAAAACTCAACACGGAGTCATAAACTACATGTGTAGGACTATGTTACTGTATACAATTTAAAACCCATTTACTGTGCATAAATTTGAAGTGACGTCATTACATTATTGGTGGGGATGATTATACAAATTTAATAATTTTGCGACATTTATGAAAAAAATATCAGTTAACAAAAATGGCACGTTTTTATTATTATGCCAGTTACATGTCACTCAACGACAATATCGGTTTTTTAGTATTTTAGAAAGCAAAATAATTCATGTCCGGACCATCGTTACTCACGAACGAAAGTGATCATTATTTTATGGGAACAACTACCTGCTAAATCTTCTCCGACAAATTCGAGAGAACTGGTGTGAGCCATAAATATTTCTTACCAAATTTAAATTTCGTTGTAGTTTGAGCCTACCTACAAATTCTGTCCTTGAAGGATTTGGACCGCCTTCTTCGGTGAGGGCAGGCAAAAATGATCCGCCCATAGGCTCAAAACATTTGCGTGCGATTGTATAGTGAACCAAGAGTTATAAGGTTATATGGCCATCATAAAATCATCCCATTGTGTCGAAGTTAAGTTGTTTACAATAGAAAAGGTTTTAGGGTCGTAAATAACGTGTCCACTACAGCTCGACCGGCTCTTGTGGTTTCGTTCAGGGGCGGCTTTCACTAAATATGAAAATCCACCACTCCACTATTTCTTTACTACCTGCAGCCGCTGAGGGTTCCGAAATAACCACTCGCTTTGAAAGCCGGCCCTGTTAAATATGAGCAAGAAATGTTTAGAAGATGATTTATTGCCAACCGGTAAGCTTAGTGCGAACCACACAAAGGGGGTATTTATTTGCGGCCAACTACTTTTATGATGGCCATATAACCTTATAGGTCTTGGTTCACTATACTACCATTACTTGAAAATTTTTCTTATCTGGAAGTTTGTAATTTGAAAACGTACGTAACAAGGTTCTTCTAAAAATGACACTCTTGTATTACTGGTTGCCTAACCATCATATTTAAAAATAACTAATCATAACCTCTCCAACTCCCAAAAATCATCACTAAACATCGTGTTATGGCAACAGTACGATCTATCTTATCTGCCAACCTAACCAAACAAACCTTCGACGCGATGGTCACCTCCAAAAAAATCATCCTCGGGAAACATTTCGATGGCATGCCCCAAGAATCCGACTTTAAAATCGTCGAAGAACAACTACCCCCTCTTAAAGATGGAGGTGAGTACCCCCAACCCCCACTACCACATTGTCTCCCAGAATTCCTTGCAGAGGCGGTTTTTCTGAGTGTGGACCCTTACATGAGGGCATACGCACACAATATGAACCCCGGCGACGTCATGGTCGGCACCCAGGTGGCTAAGTACCCAAATCACACCCTTCTCTCCCCAAAAGTCACCCCTTCGTCATTGTAGAGTGGTGGAAAGCAAAAATAACAACTACCCGGTTGGGGAGCACGTGGTGGGGAAATTCGATTGGAGGACTCACACGATCTCCTCAGGCCTCGCCAGTGAGGTAGCAGGAGCAGGGAACGCCCCCGCCCCTTACGTCATCCCCAACTTAAGCGGTCTACCCTTGTCGTACTGCTTGGGGGTATTAGGGATGCCTGGATCCACCGCCTATTTCGGGCTTCTCGACATCTGCGAACCCAAACCAGGCGAAGTCGTCGTGGTTTCAGGGGCGGCCGGCGCTGTCGGGATGATCGTAGGCCAAATCGCCAAAATCAAGGGTTGCAAGGTCATCGGGATCACCGGGTCCGACGAAAAAGGGCGCCATTTGGTCGACGTGTTAGGGTTTGACGGGTACGCCAACTACAAGACCGACAACTTGGACCAGAAGTTAGGGGAGCTGGCGCCAGAAGGAATTGACTGTTATTTTGATAATGTTGGTACTATTTTTGGGTGGTGGGTGAAGGGTGATTGTTTTAGGTTGCAGGTGAGATTAGTACCACGGTGATTTCACACATGAGGGAGTTCGGACGGATTTCGGTGTGTGGGTCGATTTCGTCGTACAACCACGACGTGAAGGATCCGCCCAAAGGTCTGGTTTGATTTTGGGAGGTGTGGTTATTTATGGGTGGTTTTTAGTTGGGGTGGTCCAATTCTACATGTACGAGAATCAGCTAATTATGAAGGGGTTCCAGAATTATTTGTATAAAGATAGGGCGGCTGAGGCTTTTCGCCAGAATTTGGACTGGATCAAGGAGGGGAAGTTGAAGTATATGGAGACGGTCACCGAGGGGTTCAACAACATGGTGAAGGCTTTTATTGAGATGCTGTCGGGGAAGAATTTGGGGAAAGCTATTGTTAAAATGTGACTTTGTTTATGTACTGTCCAAATATATATTTTTTGTTATATTTAAATGTTTTTTTTTTTTTATAAATCTACATTGCTGGGTTTTCAAGGACGGAAAATTTTTTCCCAGAAATCACGTAAGCACGATTGAGCATTCAAGAGTTAAACAATAGACTTGCGACAATGTTGCAAGCATGACACATCAAAAAATATAATAGAGATAATTTAAAATAAAATAATTTTGTATGTAAAGTTATCTATAAATATCTATAAAATTTTTATGAGCAAACATATTTTGATTAAAAATTTACCACGCGTTATGATAACTTTAAGACATCTGTAAGGTTTCGAAGAATTCGGCTTTGCAAATAATTTTGATTTTTTGGACGTTTCGGGTAAAAATTCAACACGGATTCATAAACTACACGTGTAGGACTATGTTTGTTACAATGTTACAACATTGTCAAAATAGAACAATCTCGAATATTTATCAACTTGATGCATTAAGCGTATTTTTATGTATGACGAAACTTTTGGGTACAGAACATCACTATCAATTATTTTATCAAAACAAAGGGTTCAACAATTCCCACCGCCTGCTAAAACGCCGTGTCATTGCAAGATAAAAAATGGAATAAATAAACCAATTTGACACGATAACACCAATGGATCGCTATAAATACCCCTTAGTCGAAGGTAACCCGGGTTAGAAGAAGTACCAACGCAAAATGGTAAAAGCCAAGAAGTACATAGTCCAGAAGCAGTTCGACGGTTTGCCGAAATCAACCGACTTGAAAATCGTTGAGGAAGAATTGCCACCAGTTAAGGATGGAGGTAAACTAATACCACATGAATTATTATTTTAACGACACCATTTCCTAGAATTCTTAGCTGAAGCCGTCTACTTGAGCGTAGACCCATACATGCGGGCCCTATCAGACACTGTACCCATCGGAGAGACCTTCCTGGGAACCCAAGTCGCTAAGTAAGTCACCAATAACCCCCTCTTTCAAACTACATTTTCCTTTCGTCTAGAATAACCCAAAGCAAAAACCCTGACTATCCGGTTGGAAAATACGTCGTAGGACCTTTTGGGTGGCGGACCCACGCCATTTCCACCGGTGGTCCGTTCGCATCCGGTTTGCCCAAGGTTTGGATCGTCCCTGACCCCGAAGGTCTCCCACTGTCGCTCTTTCTGGGTATTTTGGGCATGCCTGGGTAAGTACCTACATAGATCGAGCAAACATTCTCCCTTCTTAATTTAATTAGCAACACTGCATACTTTGGCTTCCTGGACATCTGCAAGCCCAAACCCGGCGAAACCGTGGTGGTGTCGGGCGCCGCCGGCGCCGTGGGCAGCATCGTCGGCCAAATCGCCAAAATCAAAGGTTGCAAGGTCATCGGGATCGCTGGGTCCGACGCAAAGGGTAAATGGTTGGTGAACGACCTCAAGTTTGACCACTTCATCAACTACAAAGACCCGAAGTTCACGGAAAAACTGGAGGAATTGACTCCGAAAGGAGTGGATTGCTATTTTGATAACGTGGGTGGACAGATTAGTTCGGAGGTTTTGCACAGGATGAATAAACAGGGAAGGATTTCTGTTTGTGGGTCAATTTCTTCGTATAACGACAGGGACGTGAAAGGTGGGTACGCCGAAATGGGTGGATTTGGAAGTAACCCGTTTGGTTTTAGCTGGAGTTGTGCAGTATGACATGGTTTTCAAACAACTGAAGATGGAAGGGTTCGTGGTGTACGAATGGTTTGATCGATGGTTTGAAGGAATCGAGCAAAACAAGAAGTGGATCAAGGAGGGGAAATTGAAGTACAGCGAAACTGTGACCAAAGGTTTCGACAATACGTTGAAGGCGTTTGTGGATATGTTACAAGGTGGCAACACTGGAAAAGCTATTGTCCAACTTTAAATAATTAAATAAACGATTCGTCAAAATACAGTTAAAGTGTAGTTCAAGTTCTCAACCTAAAACACTTATCGCCAGATGTTTACATGCCTCTAAAAATAGACTCCGTTCACGGTCATTACTAGTGTAGTGGCACGAAAATTTCAAACCTGTCCCCCAGGCTTTTTCTAACAACCCCAGTTTTTACACGAATGAAAGACCACGATTATCGTCTGTTATCAATCAAGGACCACGTTCCAATTTTTTAGTGTTTCTAGAAAGTGCTGCATCATCTCCTAACTGATAATAATTCAACTAATAAATTTATGCGACCTTGCCTTAGATAACTGCAACGTGCCGATATAAATAATTCCAATGTCAGCTCAGGTTAGACGCTTGCTCAGTGGGTTTGCTCAGAATAGTGCAAACATAGTCAAAGCAAAAAAATACATTTTTGAAAAACAGTTCGTCGGATTACCAAAAGCGACCGATTTGAAATTAGTAGAAGAGGAATTGCCACCCATCAAAGACGGAGGTACGAAAACCAGGTTATAACCTTTGAAATTGTGGTGTTTTTTGCAGAATTTTTGACAGAAGCGGTTTATTTGAGCGTGGACCCATACATGAGAGCCTATGCACCTACTGTAAAACTAGGAACGACGTTCATTGGATCCCAAGTGGCCAAGTGAGGACCCACAACTACCAAAACCTTTGAAAACAATAATGTCACTCTTTTAGAGTACTGGAAAGCAAAAACTCGAAGTACCCGGTTGGTAAATACGTCGTGGGAGAATTCGGTTGGAGGACGCACACCATAGTCGATGACACTCCCAACCCTAGAGGTTTCCCTAGTGCTTGGTTGATTCCAGACCCTGAAGGGCTGCCACTTTCGCTCTCTTTGGGTGTTCTGGGCATGACTGGGTAACACTATTGACGACATCCTAAAATTTTGCATTATTTCTAACAATTTCTAGTAACACGGCCTATTTCGGCCTCCTGGAAATCTGCAAACCCCAGCCTGGAGAAACCGTGGTGGTTTCGGGGGCGGCTGGTGCCGTCGGGAGCATCGTAGGCCAAATTGCCAAAATCAAGGGTTGTACGGTGATAGGGATCGCCGGGTCCGACGAAAAGGGCAAGTGGTTGGTGAACGACCTCAAGTTTGACACTTTCCTCAACTACAAAGACAAAGATTTTGGCCAGAAGCTGGTACAAGCGACGCCTAAAGGGGTGGATTGCTACTTCGATAATGTAGGGGGGCAGCTGAGTACGAAGATTTTGAACAGGATGAATTTGTTCGGACGGGCTTCTGTCTGTGGGGCGATTTCTGGGTACAACGATAAGGAGGACGCCAAGGGTAAGTTATGTTTATTGTTTGAAGGGTTGCTTCAAGGGTTTTGGTTATAGCGGACGCGGTGCAGTTCCCCCTAGTTTTCAAACAACTGAAGATGGAAGGCTTCCTTGTGCACAGGTGGATGGATCGATGGTTTGAAGGTATCGCACAAAATAAGAACTGGATTAAAGAGGGAAAATTGAAGTATAGAGAAACTGTGACTGAAGGGTTTGAGAACATGTTCCAGGCGTTTGTAGAAATGTTGCAGGGGGCTAACACTGGGAAAGCTGTTGTTAAAGTATAAGAGATTTGTTGATTTTTATTTTTATTATATATACAATGTTAAGTTCAACCTCCTTTATTTCCTAAAACTTTATCTCTAAACATTTACGTGTTTCTAAAAATAGCTCAACGGTTATTGCTATACCTTTCTGTTCGGTTTTGCATACTCAAAATGTTGTATACAATTTTTTTTTTCCAAAAATCTGCCTAAACGCCATGTCATTATTGTCAAACAAAAAATTGAATAAATAATCAAATTTGACAAGATAACACCGATGGATCGCGATAAATACCCCTTAGACCAAGGTAACCCAGGATAGAAGAAGTACCAACGCAAAATGGTAAAAGCCAAGAAGTACATAGTCCAGAAGCAGTTCGACGGTTTACCAAAATCAACCGACTTGAAAATAGTTGAGGAAGAATTGCCACCAGTCAAGGATGGAGGTAGCAAAACCACCTTGAATTAGTTTATTTCAATAACGCCACTTCCTAGAATTTCTAGCAGAAGCCGTCTATTTGAGCGTAGACCCATACATGCGGGCCATGTCAGACAGTGTACCCATCGGAGAGACATTCCTGGGAACACAAGTCACCAAGAAACCAAAACCCCCCAAACAATTTTTTTCTTTCGTCTAGAATAACCCAAAGCAAAAACTCTGACTATCCGGTTGGAAAACACATCGTAGCACCTTTCGGGTGGCGCACCCACACCATATCCACTGGTGGTCCGTTTCCAATCGGTTTGCCGAAGGCTTGGATCATCCCTGACCCCGAAGGTCTCCCACTGTCTTTCTATCTGGGTGTTTTGGGCATGACTGGGTAACTACTTACACAGATCGTGCAAAAATTTTCCCTTCTTACTTAACTTAATTAGCAACACGGCGTACTTTGGCTTCCTGGAAATCTGTAAGCCCAAACCCGGCGAAACCGTGGTGGTGTCGGGCGCCGCCGGCGGCGTGGGCAGCATCGTCGGCCAAATCGCCAAAATCAAGGGTTGCAAGGTCATCGGGATCGCTGGGTCCGACGCAAAGGGTAAATGGTTGGTGAACGACCTCAAGTTTGACCACTTCATCAACTACAAAGACCCCAAGTTCAAGGAGAAGCTGGAGGAATTGACACCCAAAGGAGTGGATTGCTATTTTGATAATGTGGGTGGGCAGATTAGTTCGGAGGTTTTGCATAGGATGAATAAGCACGGGAGGATATCTGTTTGTGGGTCAATTTCTACATATAACGACAAGGAGGTGAAAGGTGGGTACGCCGAAATGGGTGGATTTGGAGTGACCCTTTTGGTTTTAGCTGGAGTTGTGCAGTCTGACATAGTTTCCAAACAACTGAAGATGGAAGGGTTTATGGTGTACCAATGGTGGGACCGATGGATGGAGGGCATCGAGCAAAACAAAAGGTGGATCAAGGAGGGGAAATTGAAGTGCAGCGAAACTGTGACCAAGGGTTTCGAAAACACGTTGAAAGCGTTTGTGGATATGTTGCAAGGTGGCAACACTGGAAAAGCTATTGTCCAAATTTAAATAATTAAATAAACGGTTCTTCAAGTGTTCCTGGTCTCATTCTTGTTGTTCCTACTATCAATAACTATCGTAACAGACCCTCGTTGTCAAACATAAAAAATTGGTCTAAAGAGTTTAGACAGTACTTCCCTCGCTGTCGGAAACTTGACGACTGCATGCCTATTGTGTTTTTTTTTTCATTACATTTTTGTAGTGGGAATTTAAAAAAAATTGTGATGACGTCATCAACATTTTTGCAAGGACACGTATATCAGTTGGGATAGATGTAGTGTAATACTAAGAATAAAATTATTGTATTCCCAAATTTTCGGAAAAATGAATTGGGTCGTTTTGAATATTGATTTCTTATAATCAATAAAATAACGAAACAATTTACTCAGGTATACGGCGCCGGTGTGTAATATCTAGAGAGCGGATTTCTGTCGGGCTAGGCAAGGCCAAACTCGGTACGGCTCGTGCGGGATGCGAATTCATTGCGGTTGCGGACTGCACTTCGTTTATTTGAGATTAGAATAACGCTGTTTCGTTGCACTCTGCTGTTAATTCCCGTTCTCATTTACTTAGTCGTTTGATTAATAAATCATTAATTATATTTATGGAATTAGTACCGATTAAACGTGACGTAGCCCGACAAAAATCCGCTGTCTGGTAATATGAAAGGCAACTGAAAATCGTTTATGTATAAACATTCTTAATTTAAGATGGCAAGCGTAACAGCATACGTGAGAGTCAAACAGAGAAACTGTAAACAAAATGACCATCGGTTTTATTGCTTCGACTTCCGCTTATTATATAAAACATTGGGTTTTATTTTAATTCTTGACGGTGAAATTCACAATTGGTTGATTATAAACATGTCTACTCCACATTCGCGGAACCAAGTGAGCGCATAAAACAAATGCAGGTCTGTAATGTTAAAGTCGATGTAAATAAGCGTGCTACCCTTATGTTTCAACCGAGTTTTTCCTTTAACAAATTTTGTGTGTACCAAATTGGGTTGGTTGGGGTGTAATACTAATAATAAGTGTTGCCTTTAATTTAATCAATAAAATAAATCGACTTCATTAATTTTTTTGAACCACCTCTTAAGAAAATCTAAAAAATATGAATGGAATGATAAATCACAAGTACAAACTCATCATATTTTTTGCATTTTAGATAGGATTTATTCAGCAAAATTTAAGGGTGACGTCATCAATTTTTTTAGGAGGGATGAACAAATACATTTTGAACAAAAGTTTACCATGCTTATAATAACTTTAAAATATTCCCAAGATTTCAAAGCATTCGGTTTTGTAATTCCTGATTAAATCGATAAAATAAATTCACGCCTTCATTAATTTTTTTGAGTCACCCTGCATATGCAAATCCAAAAATATGAATGGAATGATAAATCACAAGTACAGACTCATCATATTTTGTACATTTTAGATACGATTTATTCGGCAAACTTTTGAGCTGACGTCATCAGTTTTTTGTAGAAGATAACCAAATATATTTTGACTAAAAATTTATTATGCTCTTTATAACCTTAAAACATCTGCAAGATTTCAAAGCATTCGGTTTTGTAGTTCCTGATTAAATCAATAAAATAAATTTACGCATTCATAAATTTTTTTGAGTCACCCTGTATATGCAAATCGAAAAAATTTGAATGGAATGATGAATCACAAGAAGAGACTCACCATATTTTGTACATTTTAGATAGGATTTATTCAGCAAAATTTTGTGGTGACGTCATAAATTTTTTAGGGGGGACGACCAAATACGTTTCGATCAAAAATTTACCATGCTTATGATAATTTTAAAATATCTTCAAGATTTCGAAACATTCGGTTTTGTAGTTCCTGAGTAAATCAGTAAAATAAATTTACGCTTTCATTTATTTTCTTGAATCACCCTGTATATGCAAATCCAAAAAATATGAATGGAGTGATAGATCACAAGTACAGACTCATCATATTTTGTACATTTTAGATATGATTTATTCCACAAACTTTTGAGCTGACGTCATCAAGTTTTTGGAGGGGATAAGCAAATATTTTTTGACTAAAGATTTATGATGCTCTTTATAGCCTTAAAACATCTGCAACATTTCAAAGCATTCTGGTTAGCAGATTAAAAATTAAATTTCAAAATGTTGTTTTATAATTTTGATTTTTTTTCCAATTTTTTTCGGGTGAAAAGTCGATTCAGAGTTGTAAACTACATGTGTAGGACTATGTTATTTTATACAATTGAAAACCCATTTACTATGTACAATTTTGAAGTGACGTCATCGCATTAGTGGTGGGGATGATTAGACAAATTTTGGTTAGCGTTTTACCATCTACATGATATTCTTAATATAAGTACGAAATTTCACAACAATCGGTCGAGTACTTTCGGAGATTATCTGTCTAATAAAAATCCGGGGGCAGACGGACAGACGGACAGACGGACGGACGGACAGACGGACAGACGGACAGACAGACGGAAATGGGAGACCTATTTCTTCGTCTTCTAGGGGTCATGAAAGATCGAGAAAACGTAAAAGTAGAGAGTCGGCCGACGGACTCGATTACAATACTTCCTTTGCTTACGCTCGGGAAGTAATAAAGATAAAGTGCAGTTTCGAGCTCTCAGTCTAAAACATTTCTCCTAATGTTTACAAGTTTCTAAAAATAGCCTCCGTTCACGGTCATTACTAGCGTAGTGGCACGAAAATTTCAAACCTGTCCCCCAGGCTTTTTCTAACAACCCCAGTTTTTACATGAATGAAAATCCACAATTATCGTTCGTCATCAAACAAGGTCCACGTTCCAATTTTTTAGTGCTTCTAGAAAGAGCTGCATCATCTCCTAACTGATAATTCAACTAAAAAATTTGTAACCTTCCGAACTGCAGCCTGCCGATATAAATATTTCCAGAGTCAACTCAGATTAGACGCTTGCTCAGTGGGTTTGCTCAGAATAGTGCAAACATGGTCAAAGCAAAAAAATACATTTTTGAAAAACAGTTCGTCGGACTACCAAAAGCGACCGATTTGAAATTAGTAGAAGAGGAATTGCCACCCATCAAAGACGGAGGTACGAAAACCAGGTTGTAACCTTTGAAATTGTGGTGTTTTTTGCAGAATTTTTGACGGAAGCGGTTTATTTGAGCGTGGACCCATACATGAGAGCCTATGCACCTACTGTAAAACTAGGAACGACGTTCATTGGATCCCAAGTGGCCAAGTGAGGACCCACAACTACCAAAACCTTTGAAAACAATAATGTCACTCTTTTAGGGTACTGGAAAGCAAAAACTCGAAGTACCCGGTTGGTAAATACGTCGTGGGAGAATTCGGTTGGAGGACGCACACCATAGTCGATGACACTCCTAACCCTAGAGGTTTCCCTAGTGCTTGGTTGATTCCAGACCCTGAAGGGCTGCCACTTTCGCTCTCTTTGGGTGTTCTGGGCATGACTGGGTAACACTATTGACGACATCCTAAAATTTTGCATTATTTCTAACAATTTCTAGTAACACGGCCTATTTCGGCCTCCTGGAAATCTGCAAACCCCAGCCTGGAGAAACCGTGGTGGTTTCGGGGGCGGCTGGTGCCGTCGGGAGCATCGTAGGCCAAATCGCCAAAATCAAGGGTTGTACGGTGATCGGGATAGCCGGGTCCGACGAAAAGGGCAAGTGGTTGGTGAACGACCTCAAGTTTGACACTTTCCTCAACTACAAAGACAAAGATTTTGGCCAGAAGCTGGTACAAGCGACGCCTAAAGGGGTGGATTGCTACTTCGATAATGTAGGGGGGCAACTAAGTACGAAGATTTTGAACAGAATGAATTTGTTCGGACGGGCTTCTGTCTGTGGGGCGATTTCTGGGTACAACGATAAGGACGACGCAAAGGGTAAGTTATGTTTATTGTTTGAAGGGTTGCTTCAAGGGTTTGGGTTATAGCGGACGCGGTGCAGTTCCCCCTAGTTTTCAAACAACTGAAGATGGAAGGCTTCCTTGTGCACAGATGGATGGATCGATGGTTTGAAGGTATCGCACAAAATAAGAACTGGATTAAAGAGGGAAAATTGAAGTATAGAGAAACTGTGACTGAAGGGTTTGAGAACATGTTCCAGGCGTTTGTAGAAATGTTGCAGGGGGCTAACACTGGGAAAGCTGTTGTTAAAGTATAAGCGATTTGTTGATTTTTGTTTATATTAAATATACAATGTTAAGTTCAACCTCCTTTATTTCTTAAAATTTTATCTCTAAACATTTACGTGTTTCTAAAAATAGCTCAACGGTTATTGCTATACCTTTCTGTTCGGTTTTGCATACTCAAAATGTTGTATACAATTTTTTATTTTTTTTCCAAAAATCTGCCTAAACGCCATGTCAATATTGTCAAACAAAAAATTGAATAAACAATCAAATTTGACAAGATAACACCGATGGATCGCTATAAATACCCCTTAGACCAAGGTAGTCCACGATAGAAGAAGTACCAACGCAAAATGGTAAAAGCCAAGAAGTACATAGTCCAGAAGCAGTTCGACGGTTTGCCAAAATCAACCGACTTGACAATAGTTGAGGAAGAATTGCCACCAGTCACGGATGGAGGTAGCAAAACCACTTTCAATTATTTTATTTCAATAAGACCATTTCCTAGAATTTCTAGCAGAAGCCGTCTACTTGAGCGTAGACCCATACATGCGGGCCATGTCAGACAGTGTACCCATCGGAGAGACATTCCTGGGAACCCAAGTCGCCGAGTAAGTCACCAAGCCACAAAAACTCCCGAAACTATTTTTTTTCGTCTAGAATAACCCAAAGCAAAAACTCTGACTATCCGGTTGGAAAACACACCGTAGCACCCTTCGGGTGGCGCACCCACACCCTATCCACTGGTGGTCCGTTTCCAATCGGTTTGCCCAAGGCTTGGATCATCCCTGACCCCGAAGGTCTCCCACTGTCTTTCTATCTGGGTGTTTTGGGCATGACTGGGTAACTACCTACAGAGATCGTGCAAAAATTGTCCCTTCTTACTTAACTTAATCAGCAACACGGCTTACTTTGGCTTCCTGGAAATCTGTAAGCCCAAACCCGGCGAAACCGTCGTGGTGTCGGGCGCCGCCGGCGCCGTGGGCAGCATCGTCGGCCAAATCGCCAAAATCAAGGGTTGCAAGGTCATCGGGATCGCTGGGTCAGAGGAAAAGGGTAAATGGTTGGTGAACGACCTCAACTTTGACAATTTCATCAACTACAAAGACCCCAAGTTCAAGGAGAAGCTGGAGGAATTGACACCCAAAGGAGTGGATTGCTATTTTGATAATGTGGGTGGACAGATTAGTTCGGAGGTTTTGCATAGGATGAATAAGCACGGGAGGATATCTGTTTGTGGGTCAATTTCTACGTATAACGACAAGGAGGTGAAAGGTGGGTACGCCGAAATGGGTGGATTTGGGGTGACCCTTTTGGTTTTAGCTGGAGTTGTGCAGTCTGACATAGTTTCCAAACAACTGAAGATGGAAGGGTTTATGGTGTATCAATGGTGGGACCGATGGATGGAGGGCATCGAGCAAAACAAAAAGTGGATCAAGGAGGGGAAATTGAAGTGCAGCGAAACTGTGACCAAGGGTTTCGAAAACACGTTGAAAGCGTTTGTGGATATGCTGCAAGGTGGCAACACTGGAAAAGCTATTGTCCAAATTTAAATAATTAAATAAACGGTTCTTCAAGTGTTCCTGGTCTCATTCTTGTTGTTCCTACTATCAATAACTATCGTAACAGACCCTCGTTGTCAAACATAAAAAATTGGTCTAAAGAGTTTAGACAGTACTTCCCTCGCTGTCGGAAACTTGACGACTGCATGCCTATTGTGTTTTTTTTTCTCATTACATTTTTGTAGTGGGAATTTAAAAAAAAATTGTGATGACGTCATCAACATTTTTTGCAAGGACACGTATATCAGTTGGGATAGATGTAGTGTAATACTAAGAATAAAATTATTGTATTCCCAAATTTTCGGAAAAATGAATTGGGTCGTTTTGAATATTGATTTCTTATAATCAATAAAATAACGAAACAATTTACTCAGGTATACGGCGCCGGTGTGTAATATCTAGAGAGCGGATTTCTGTCGGGCTAGGCAAGGTCAAACTCGGTAAGGCTCGTGCGGGATGCGAATTCATTGCGGTTGCGGACTGCACTTCGTTTATTTGAGATTAGAATAACGCTGTTTCGTTGCACTCTGCTGTTAATTCCCGTTCTCATTTACTTATTCGTTTGATTAATAAATCGTTAATTATATTTATGGAATTAGTACCGATTAAACGTGACGTAGCCCGACAAAAATCCGCTGTCTGGTAATATGAAAGGCAACTGAAAATCGTTTATGTATAAACATTCTTAATTTAAGATGACAAGCGTAACAGCATACGTGAGAGTCAAACAGAGAAACTGTAAACAAAACGACCATCGGTTTTATTGCTTCGACTTCCGCTTATTATATAAAACATTGGGTTTTATTTTAATTCTTGACGGTGAAATTCACAATTGGTTGATTGTAAACATGTCTATTTCACATTCGCGGAATCAAGTGAACGCATAAAACAAATGCAGGTCTGTAATGTTAAAGTCGATGTAAATAAGCGTGCTACCCTTATGTTTCAACCGAGTTTTTCCTTTAACAAATTTTGTGTCTACCAAATTGGGTTGGTTGGGGTGTAATACTAATAATAAGTGTTGCCTTTAATTTAATCAATAAAATAAATTGACTTCATTAATTTTTTTGAACCACCTCTTAAGAAAATCTAAAAAATATGAATGGAATGATAAATCACAAGTACAAACTCATCATATTTTTTGCATTTTAGATAGGATTTATTCAGCAAAATTTAAGGGTGACGTCATCAATTTTTTTAGGAGGGATGAACAAATACATTTTGAACAAAAGTTTACCATGCTTATAATAACTTTAAAATATTCCCAAGATTTCAAAGCATTCGGTTTTGTAATTCCTGATTAAATCGATAAAATAAAATAAATTCACGCCTTCATTAATTTTTTTGAGTCACCCTGCATATGCAAATCCAAAAATATGAATGGAATGATAAATCACAAGTACAGACTCATCATATTTTGTACATTTTAGATACGATTTATTCGGCAAACTTTTGAGTGACGTCATCAGTTTTTTGTAGAAGATAACCAAATATATTTTGACTAAAAATTTATTATGCTCTTTATAACCTTACAACATCTGCAAGATTTCAAAGCATTCGGTTTTGTAGTTCCTGATTAAATCAATAAAATAAATTTACGCATTCATAAATTTTTTTGAGTCACCCTGTATATGCAAATCGAAAAAATTTGAATGGAATGATAAATCACAAGAAGAGACTCACCATATTTTGTACATTTTAGATAGGATTTATTCAGCAAAATTTTGTGGTGACGTCATAAATTTTTTAGGGGGGACGACCAAATACGTTTTGATCAAAAATTTACCATGCTTATGATAATTTTAAAATATCTTCAAGATTTCGAAGCATTCGGTTTTGTAGTTCCTGAGTAAATCAGTAAAATAAATTTACGCTTTCATTTATTTTCTTGAATCACCCTGTATATGCAAATCCAAAAAATATGAATGGAGTGATAGATCACAAGTACAGACTGATCATATTTTGTACATTTTAGATATGATTTATTCGGCAAATTTTCGAGCTGACGTCATCAAGTTTTTGGAGGGGATAAGCAAATATATTTTGACTAAACATTTATTATGCTCTTTATAACCTTAAAACATCTGCAAGATGTCAGAGCATTCCGTTTTGTAGTTCCTGATTAAATCAATAAAATATATTTACGCATTCATTAATTTTTTTGAGTCACTCTGTATATGCAAATCCAAAAAATATGAATGGAGTGATAAATGACAAGTACAGGCCCATCATATTTTGTACATTTTAGATATGATTTATTCGGCAAAGTTTCGAGCTGACGTCATCAGTTTTTTGTAGAAGATAACCAAATATATTTTGACTAAAAATTTATTATGCTCTTTATAACCTTAAAACATCTGCAAGATTTCAGAGCATTCGGTTTTGTAGTTCTTGATTAAATCAATAAAATATATTTACGCATTCATTAATTTTTTTTGAGTCACCCTGTATATGCAAATCCAAAAAATATGAATGGAGTGATAGATCACAAGTACAGACTCATCATATTTTGTACATTTTAGATATGATTTATTCCACAAACTTTTGAGCTGACGTCATCAAGTTTTTGGAGGGGATAAGCAAATATTTTTTGACTAAAGATTTATGATGCTCTTTATAGCCTTAAAACATCTGCAACATTTCAAAGCATTCTGGTTAGCAGATTAAAAATTAAATTTCAAAATGTTGTTTTATAATTTTGATTTTTTTTCCAAAAATCTGGACGTTTCGGGTGAAAAGTCGATTCAGAGTTGTAAACTACATGTGTAGGACTATGTTATTTTATACAATTGAAAACCCACTTACTATGTACAATTTTGAAGTGACGTCATCGCATTAGTGGTGGGGATGATTAGACAAATTTTGGTTAGCGTTTTACCATCTACATGAAATTCTTAATATAAGTACGAAATTTCACAACAATCGGTCGAGTACTTTCGGAGATTATCTGTCTAATAAAAATCCGGGACGGCAGACGGACAGACAGACGGACAGACAGACGGACAGACAGACGGAAATGGGAGACCTATTTCTTCGTCTTCTAGGGGTCATGAAAGATCGAGAAAACGTAAAAGTAGAGAGTCGGCCGACGGACTCGATTACAATACTTCCTTTGCTTACGCTCGGGAAGTAAAAATAAAGATAAAGTGCAGTTTCGAGCTATCAGTCTAAAACATTTCTCCTAATGTTTACAAGTTTCTAAAAATAGCCTCCGTTCACGGTCATTACTAGTGTAGTGGCACGAAAATTTCAAACCTGTCCCCCAGGCTTTTTCTAACAACCCCAGTCTTTACATGAATAAAAAATCACAATTATCGTTTCTTATCAAACAAGGCCCACGTTCCAATTATTTAGTGCTTCTAGAAAGAGCTGCATCATCTCCTAACTGATAATTCAACTAAAAAATTTGTGACCTTCCGAACTGCAACCTGCCGATATAAATATTTCCAGTGTCAACTCAAATTAGACGCTTGCTCACTGGGTTTGCTCAGAATAGTGCAAACATGATCAAAGCAAAAAAATACATTTTTGAAAAACAGTTCGTCGGACTACCAAAAGCGACCGATTTGAAATTAGTAGAAGAGGAATTGCCACCCATCAAAGACGGAGGTACGAAAACCAGGTTGTAACCTTTGAAATTGCGGTGTTTTTTGCAGAATTTTTAACGGAAGCGGTTTATTTGAGCGTGGACCCATACATGAGAGCCTATGCACCTACTGTAAAACTAGGAACGACGTTCATTGGATCCCAAGTAGCCAAGTGAGGACCCACAACTACCAAAACCTTTGAAAACAATAATGTCACTCTTTTAGGGTACTGGAAAGCAAAAACTCGAAGTACCCGGTTGGTAAATATGTCGTGGGAGAATTCGGTTGGAGGACGCACACCATAGTCGATGACACTCCTAACCCTAGAGGTTTCCCTAGTGCTTGGTTGATTCCAGACCCTGAAGGGCTACCTCTTTCGTTCTCTTTGGGTGTTTTGGGCATGCCTGGGTAACACTATTGACGCAATCCTAGAATTTTGCTAAGTAATTCTAATAATTTCTAGCAACACGGCCTATTTCGGCTTCTTGGAAATCTGCAAACCCCAGCCTGGAGAAACCGTGGTGGTTTCAGGGGCGGCTGGTGCCGTCGGGAGCATCGTGGGCCAAATTGCCAAAATAAAGGGTTGTACGGTGATCGGGATAGCCGGGTCGGACGAAAAGGGCAAGTGGTTGGTGAACGACCTCAAGTTTGACACTTTCCTCAACTACAAAGACAAGGATTTTGACCAGAAGCTGCTACAAGCAACGCCCAAAGGGGTTGATTGCTACTTCGATAATGTAGGGGGGCAACTAAGTACGAAGATCTTGAACAGAATGAATTTGTTCGGACGGGTTTCTGTCTGTGGAGCGATTTCTGGGTACAACGATAAGGACGACGCGAAGGGTAAGTTAGACGTATGTTTATTGTTTGAAGGGTTGCTTCAAGGGTTTGGGTTATAGCGGATGCGGTGCAGTTCGCCCTAGTTTTCAAACAACTGAAGATGGAAGGCTTCGTGGTGCACAAATGGATGGATCGATGGTTTGAAGGTATTGAGCAAAATAAGAACTGGATTAAGAAAGGAAAATTGAAGTATAGAGAGACTGTGACCGAAGGGTTTGAAAACATGTTTAAGGCCTTCGTGGATATGTTGCAGGGGGGTAATACTGGGAAAGCTATTGTTAAAGTCTAAGCGACTTGTTAATTTTTGTTTATATTAAATAAACAATATTAAGTTCAGCCATCTTTATTTATTAAAATTTTATCTCTAAATATTTAGGTGTTTCTAAAAATAGCTCAACTGTTATTGTTATTGTAGTAGAAAAGGAAAATTTTATATTTGGTCTCCGAACGCACGCAAGATTCTAATTATGGTGTGTTATCTAACAAGGGCGAAGTAAAAATTTCTTAACGCGTTTAGAAAACCCTGGATCATCGCCTATCTAATAATGGGGCAATAAATTAACTCAACCTTGGATTAAATATATGGGAGTGTGCCGATATAAATACTCCCACAGACGGCTCAGGTTAGACTCTTGCTCAGAATACCGAAAACATGGTCATAGCAAAAAAGTACGTCCTCGACAAACAGTTTGAAGGTTTACCCTAAGCCGGCGATTTGAAACTAGTGAAAGAGGAATTACCGCCCATCAAAGACGTAGGTAAGAAGACATAAATGGTAATCTTTTTTCTGGCTACAAAAAGGAAAGGCAAACAACGTAACGTCTGTTATTTTAATAACAATACAAAAATTAAAACACGTAGTCACTTACAGTCTAATTTATTTTATAAAACTTGCAGTCGTTACACTTTAACAACAGTCTTTCCAGTGTTTCCCCCATTCAGCATATCCACAAACGCCTTAAACATATTCTCAAACCCTTCCGTCACCGTCTCAACTTCAACTTCCCCTCCTTAATCCACCTCACCATCCCTTGGACTCCTTCCCCAAACCTCGCACTCCACCTCGACACAATAAACCCTTCCACTTTAACCTCATTCCAAATCAACGGCGCATTGAAATTAGTAACTAAAACCCAAACAACCATCAAAAGCCCACCACAGCCCAGAATTTACCTTTACTCGGCGTAACGTCATTGTAGCACGAAACCGCCCCACACAGCGCCACCCTTCCACGTAAATTCATCCTGTACATCACATTGGAACAAACCTCCCCACCCACATTGTCAAAAAAGCAGTCAACTCCCTTGGGAGTGGCTTCGGCTAGCTTCGTCACGAAATCCTTATCCTTGTAGTTGACGAACTTGTCAAAACCCAGGTCGTCCACTAACCATTTACCCTTCTCGTCGGACCCCGCCACCCCCACCACCGTGCACCCTTTGATTTTGGCAATTTGGCCTACTACGCTACCCACAGCACCCGCGGCTCCCGTCACGACTACGGTTTCACCTGGTTGGGGTTGGCAGATTTCGAGAAAACCGAAATAGGCTGTGAGACTACATTTAGGTTAGAGGGTTGGTGTTTGGGGTTGGTGGCTTACCCAGATACCCCTAGAACACCCAGAGCGAGCGAAAGTGGAAGCCCGCCGTAGTTTGGCAGTGGGGTTACTTGGGTTTTGGGGTTGCAGATAGTGTGGGTGCGCCAGCCCAGGTTGCCCACGACGTGCTGACCCACCGGGTGCTGCGCATTTTTGCTTTGTACGACTCTAGAGACCGGATTTGAGTATTTTGCTACGATGGATTCAAAATAACTCACTTCGCTACTTGGAAAGCTATGTAGGTTGTGCCTAGGCTTAGTTTGAAGGCGGATGATCGCAAATAGGGGTCGAGACTTAAGTAGACGGCTTCTACCAGGTATTCTAAAAGTAATCCTAGAAGTGATGCCTGTGTGGATTTTTTTTCTTACCGTCGTCTTGCAGTGGCGGCAATTCTTCCTCAACCAATTCCAAGTCGTCCTCTTTTGGGAAACCATTGAAGTGTTTGACGTAGACGTACTTACGCGCTTTCACCATTGTGACACCGTTTGCTAAAAACCTAACCAAAATTTTTGGCGTCTGTTTTTATAGCGCGAACGATGAGCAAACAGTGTGGACTTTCTGAGGTGAGGTGCAAAGTGCGCTGTGAAGGTCGATCTAATCATTGGCATCAAAATACGCGAGGCGTGGCTTGTATACAAACACAAACATTGGGTGTCGGGACATATCAGTACACTGGGGTCAGAGTACAGTTGACAAAATTAACAATGAGTCGTCAATTTTCAAAGCTTGCTTATTTTAATTTATCGGGTTTCCATGGTACAATCCAAAGTATCACCTGGATCATCATTTTTATCTCCATTTGAAAATGCTAAAAGCGCATAAATTTACCTTGGTAAGATACTTTAACGGTATGCCTAAGAAATCCGACTTAAAGCTAGTCGAAGAGGAACTACCCGAACTTCAAGACTGCTTTGAGAAAAAACACCCACCTTTAACGCCATCTCATGAACAGCTTCCGCAGAGTACTTGGGGCACGCCCTTTACCCGAGCGTCGACCCCTACATGCGGGTTTACTCGACAACTATGACCCTCGGCTCGACCCTCATAGGTTACTAAGTGGCCAAGTGAGTCGCTTCGCACAAAACCTTAGGCCTAGGCATCCTAGCCTATGGGCGGATCGTTTTTGCCTGCCCTCACCGAAGAAGGCGGTCCAAATCCTTCAAGGGCAGAATTTGTAGGTAGGTTCAAACTACAACGAAATTTAAATTTGGTAAGAAATATTTATGGCTCACACCAGTTCTCTCGAATTTGTCGGAGAAGATTTAGCAGGTAGTTGTTCCCATAAAATAATGGTCACTTTCGTTCGTGAGTAACGATGGTCCGGACATGAATTATTTTGCTTTCTAACATCTTTCGACCAACTGTTCCGTATAAAAAATTTCATCACTTTTTCAAATAAAATACTCTTAACAAAAAACGATATTGTCGTTGAGTGACATGTAACTGGCATAATAATAAAAACGTGCCATTTTTGTTAACTGATATTTTTTTCATAAATGTCGCAAAATTATTAAATTTGTCTAATCATCCCCACCAATAATGTGATGACGTCACTTCAAATGTATGCATAGTAAATGGGTTTTAAATTGTATACAGTAACAGTCCTACACATGTAGTTTATGACTCCGTGTTGAGTTTTTATCCGAAACGTCCAGATTTTTGGAAAAAAAATCAAAATTATAAAACAATATTTTGCAATTTAATTTTGAATTTGCAAAATCGAATACTTTGAAATCTTGCAGATGTTTTAAAATCATGATAAACATGATACATTTTTAATTAAAATATATTTGCTTATCCCCTCTAAAAAATTTTTGACGTCACCTCAAAATTTTGCAGAATAAATCCTATCTTAAATGTATAAAATATGATGAGTTTTATACTTGTGATTTATCACTGCATTATTATTTTTTAGATTTGGTTATACAGGGTGTCTCAAAAAAGTTAATGACTGAGTCAATTTATTTTATTGAAGAAATCAAGAATAGCAAAACTGAATACTTTGAAATATTGTAGATGTTTTGAAGTTTTTGTAAGCATGGTAACTTTTTCGAAAATTTGATTAATCAAATATGCGCAAAATCAAAAATCGGAAAAACTGAAATTCACTAATGCAAAAAACAGAAAATCGAAAAATACAAATCGTAAAAATCGAAAATCTAAAAATGGCTAATCAAAAAATCGAAAATTTAATGAATCAAATACCTAGGTCGACCGAAAAGTGGAAATTCACAAACCTCAAAAATCGAAAAATCGAAAATTGAAAAACGGGAAAACCAAAAAATCGAAAAGTCAAAAATTTGTAATAATGAAAATTAAAAAAATCAAAAACAAAAATAAAAAAAATCGGAAATTAAAATAATCAAAATATAAAGTAAAAAAAATTGCAAAGCCTAAAAACTGAAACGAACAGAAAAATCGAAAAAGCAAAAAATTGGAAAAACAAAAATTCGAAAAATCTAAAATCGAAAAAGTGGAAAATCGAAAATCTGAATAAAGAAACTTGGAAATTCTGAAAATTGGAAAATAGAAAACCAAAAAATCGGAAAGTAACAAAATTGAAGTCCAACAGTTGAGAATGGAAAAATTGAAAAACCGAAAATTCTAAAAATCGACAATGGACAAATTGAAAATAGCAAAATTTAAATTGAAAAATTGAACATGGAAAAATCGATGAATTGAAAAATTGAAAATTCGACTACTCAAATTTTCTAAAAATCGAAAAATCATAAAACTGAAAAATCCAAAATTCTAATCATCGAAAGTCTGAAAACTGAAAATCGAAAATTCCGAAAAGCGGAAAATAGAATATCGAAAAATTTAAAAGAAAGAAAATTGAAGTCTAAAAACCGAAGAATGGAAAAATTAAAAATCAAAAATTCGAAAAATCAAAACCGAAAAATTCAAAGATTTAAAAAGAAAATCGAAAAATCAAAAATCTGAAAATTGAAACTCGAAAATTTGGAAAATCGAAAAGTAAAAAAATTGAAGCCTAAAAGCTGAAAAATGGAAAACTGAACAATCGAAAATTCGAAAATCAAATATCGAAAAATCGAAAAGCCGAAAAATCGAAAATTTGATAAATCAGATATGCGAACAACAGATAATCTGAAAATACAAAACTGGAAAATCAAAAATCTAAAAATGGAAAAACCGAAAACCGAAATTTCAGTTAATCTAATGCGTAGGTCGATCGAAAAACTGGAAATTCACAAATCTGAAAAATCAAAAATTTGCAAGATTGAAAAACCGAGAATTGAAAAATCAAAAAACCGAAAAATGGAAAAATCAAAAATCGAAAAATAGGAAAACCGAAAATTCAAAAATTCATAATATTGAAAACTCTAAAAGTCGACAATTCAAAAATCAAAAAACTGGAAAAAAATAATCGAAAAATCGAAAAGTAAACAAATTGCAAAGCCTAAAAACTGACGAACAGAAAAATCGAAAAATCGTAAAATCGAAGATTGGAAAATCGAAAAATCGAAAAATTAAAAAATCGGAAATCGAAAAATGAAAAAAAAAACGAAAATTCAAAAATCGAATAATCCGAAACTAAAATAATAGAAAAGTGGAAAAGTAAAAATTGCAAAGTCTCAAAACTGACGAACAGAACAATCGAAAAATAAAAAAAATCGAAAAATATCTAAACATGGAAAATCGAAAAATCGAAAATCGGAAAATGGAAAAACCGAAAAATCGAAAACTCGAAAATTCGATGAAACAAATACTCGAAAAAGCGAAAAGTAAAAAAATTGCAGGGCCTAAAAATTGAAAAATCAAAAAATCGAAAAGTGGAAAATCGGAAAGTAACAAAATTGAAATCTAAAAGCTGCAAATTGCAGAACCATAAAAACTGAAACAAACAGAAAAATCGAAAAACCACAAAAGCGGAAAAACGAAAATCGAAAAATCGCAAATCGAAAAATCGTAAAATCAGAAAATGGAAAATCGAATAATCGAAAGTTGAAAAATCGAAGGTCGAAAAATAAAACAACCGAAAAATCGAAAAATTGTATGATTAATGGAAAATCGAAAAATCGAGAATAGAATAATTAAAAAACCGGAAAATTGAAAAATCGGAAATCGAAGAATTAAAAACGTAAAATCGAGAATTCAAAAATCAAAAAAATCGGAAAGTAAAATATAATCGAAAAATGCAAAAAAATTGCAAAGTCTAAAAACTGACGAACAGAAAAATCAAAAAAGCTAAAAATGGAAAGACGAAAAATCGAAAATTGAAAGAATGGCAAATTAAAAAATCGAAACATCGAAAAATCAAAAAAACGAAAAATTAAAAAAACGAAAAACGAAAAAACTGAAAACCCGAAAAATCAAAATACCGCAAATTTGAAAAATCAGAAAATTAGAAAGTAATAAAATCGAAAAGTTGATAGAAAAATGGAAACTGAAAAATCTAATTCGATGAAAGTGTTGGTCGAAAAAACGAAAAATCGAAAATCGAAGTGACCTTTTTTTGAGTCAGGCTGTATAAGTAAATCTAAAAATATTACTGCAATGATAAATCACAGGTATAGACTCATCACATCAAATTTTACGATGACGTCATGCATTTTTTGGCGAAGATAAGCAAATACATTTTGATCGTGGCTTTGAAAGTATTCTTCGACTTTCGTTCCATTTCAAAATTTACTCTTTGTATATTTCAGTGGTCACAATGAGTTCACTAACTACGCTGAAGTATGCGAAGATTAAATTTGTCACCGAAAAGATGTCGGAAGTAATAAATTATCCTATCGGTCGAAGAACGTTCGACCCAAGAGAGACCGCAGTAAAGGATAACAAATGGAACGGATAAAATAAAGCGTCAAATATGATTGATAAACTTTAAACCAAAATTAAGAAGTTTATAAACTGAAGATTTTTTTTGCTTTTTGAAATGTAGTACACTTCAAAAAATGTCCGTGACTTACTTTAATGTGAATTTTATAACTATGGTCGGCACAATTAGACCTAATATTAGTGTGATTTTGAGCATATTCTCGATGTTATTAGAGCAGGACAGGTTTTTTTTTTCTAACCAATTGACAAGATTTCAAAGTATTCAGTTTTGCAATTCTTGATTTCTTCAATAAAATAAATTGACTCAGTCATTTTTTTTTTGAGTCACCCTGTATGTATAAACAAATCCAAAAAATATTAATGAAATGGTAAATCACAAGTATAGACTCATCATATTCTGAACATTTTAGATAGGGTATTTATAAAATTAAAACTAATTCAGAGTAAGTATTTATAAAATTAAAACTATTTCAGGGTAAGAATTTGGTCAACACGTAAATTTCGTTGTAGTTTGAGCCTACCTACAAATTCTGCCCTTGGACGATTTGGACCGCCTCCTTCGGTGACGACCGGCAAAAATGATCCGCCCATTGGCTCAAAACATTTGCGTGCGATTGTACGAAAAACCCCCCGATCCGTCCAAGTCTAACGCAGTTCTAGGATCACGGCTTACTTCGGCCTGCTCGAGATCTGCCATCCCAAAGGGGAGACCGTGGTGGTCACAGCAGCCGCAGGCCAAAATCCTGGGCTGCACAGTCGTCGGCCAAAGACAAGAAATTCGAAGAGAAACTCATCGAGGCGACCCCTTTAGGCGTGGATTGTTTTTTTGACAATGTGGGTGGTGAGATCAGTTCAACGATTTTCAGTAGGATGAACCATTTCGGGCGATGTGTGGGGCTATTTCTGGGTACAACGAAACTAAGACGCTCAAAGATGACTAGAAACGTGGTTGAGCATTGAAGGATTTTTATTTGCAGTGACGCCGATTCAGGGTTTCATGGTGGCTAAAGAACTCAAAGTAGAGGGGTTTCTGGTGACGCGATGGAACGATCGGTGGCACGAGATAAAGTTGATTACAAACTTCATTGTTTCTTTGCAACTTAGCAACTACATTGAAAGGTTAAAATAAAACTCGAAAACATAGTCAAGCATTTTATTTAGAAAATACACGGTGTTACACCTTCACAACAGCTTTCCCGATGTTCCCCCCTTTCAACATGTCGACAAACGCCTGGAACATGTTCTCGAAGCCCTCTGTCACAGTCTCGCTGTACTTCAACTTCCCCTCTTGAATCCACTGCTTGTTTTGCAAAATGCCCTCCCCCCACCGCTCAGTCCACCTCCTCACGATGAACCCTTCCATCTTCAGCTGTTTGCCGACCAAAAACCGCTGAATCGTAGTGGCTGCAACCCAAAACCCATAAAACCCACTTTTCCAAGAAAACAAGTTCACCTTTCGCCGGTTCGGTGTCATTGTACCCAGAAATAGACCCACAGACAGACACTCGCCCATAAAGGTTCATCCTGCTTATCACAATCGAGCTAATCTCCCCACCCACGTTATCGAAATAGCAATCCACGCCCTTCGGCGTCGCTTGCTCCAGTTTCTCCTTGAACTTGTCGTCCTTGTAGTTGATGAAGTGGTCGAACCCTAAATCGTCGACCAACCATTTACCCTTTTCGTCTGATCCGGCTATCCCGATGACTGTACAACCTTTGATTTTGGCGATTTGGCCGACGTGGCTGCCCACCGCGCCGGCTGCTCCTGTGACCACCACGGTCTCGCCAGGTTTGGGCTGGCAGATCTCCAGGAAGCCGAAGTACGCGGTGTTCCTAAATCTGGGTCAGATTTGGCGTGACTGGATCGGGGTGCTTACCCTGGCATTCCTAGGACGCCGACTCCTAGGGATAGAGGGAGCTTGTCGAAGTCGGGGAGGACGTAGAGCTCGGATTCGTTGTCGGAGATGGTGTGGGTGCGCCAGCCGAAGTTGCCCACGATGTACTGGCCAACGGGGTGGGTAATGTTTTTGCTTTCGGTGACCCTTGATAGAAGGTAGATTATTGTCGAAATTTGGGGAATGGGGAAAACTTACACGGCGACTTGTCCGCCAATGAAGGTGGTTCCAAGTTTTAGGGATGGTGCATAGGCGCGCATGTAAGGGTCAACGCTCAAATAGACAGCCTTGGAAAGGAACTCTACACGACCAACGAGTAAATACGTAACCGGATTTTTTTAGGAAAAATCAAATATTCTCACCCCCATCTTTGAGCTGCGGCAATTTCTCTTCGACCAACTGCAAGTCGCCTTCTTTAGGAAAACCTTCAAATTTTCGGGCGTAAACGTACTTTCTTGCCGTCGTCATTTTGAATCACAATTGGGAAAAATAATTGTGTCTACCTGTTATATGACTTTTGTTCAGACTGATTAGTTATCGATAGCATGACACAGCAGTTCTGTTACAATCAGTTTCACGTAATGAGTAGTACTCAAAGTACGAAAGCAAGGACACAACTACACGTTCTTTCTCTTTTATAACAAATCATCAAACAAATTACTTAAATTGTTTCCACTGCAAATAAAAACACTCCAAAAAGATAAACAGTGAAGATAAAAATAGACATGAACTTGCACATTTATTATCATTCGTAGCGAAGCTATTCCGAAGGTCGTTAGTGCAAACAACTCGCTACAATTCTGTCCGCTTTTCACGCTTGCAACGTTTCGAACTTCCCCCAAAGGTACATCAGTACTTCCCCCTCCAGCCTCGTGCAACTTTGAACTCTCCCAGACCTCCCAAAAATACCCCTAACCTCACAATGTTATCACTAAAATGTCAAAGATTCCTTTCAGTGTCAATCAAAAACGCAATGACAGCAAAAGTTATAATCCTCAAGCGAAAATTCGAAGGGACCCCAACCCTCGACAATTTCAAAATCGTCGAAGAAAAGCTGCGGCCCCTCCAGCAAGGAGAGTTTCTAGTAGAAGCTAGATACATAAGCGTGGACCCCTACCAGAGGGTGTACCCCCCAAAAGTGGGTCAAACCATGTTGTCTGAACAAGTAGCCAAGTAACGTGTTTTTCTAACCCCCGAACAGTGCTAACCTTCCCCGTTTGCAGGGTAATAGAGAGCCAGAACAACGACTTCCCTGTGGGGTCGTCCGTCGTAGGAGAGTGGGGCTGGAGGACCCACACCATTGCCAAAGACGTCGCTGGCGATTTCTGCCTACGAAAACCCAGACTTTTAACCGGATATGATGGGTTATCGCGGTCGTTGGCTCTGAGCGTGCTGGGGATGCCCGGCAACGCGGCCTACTTCGGGCTGTTGCACATGGGCAAGCCCATGAAGGGCAACACCGTGGTGGTGTCGAGCGCCGCCGGCGGCGTGGGGACCATCGTGGGGCAGATCGCGAAGATAAAAGGGTGCAAAGCCGTGGGGATCACCAGCTCGGTCGAAAAGGGGGAGCGCTTGGTCAAGGAAGTCGGCTACGACCATTACGTTAGTTATAACTCGAAGAATTTCGAGAAAGATCTGTCCAAAGCAACGAAGGATACCGTGCATTGCTACTTCGACAGCGTAGGCGGGGAGATCAGCAGCAGCGTTTTGACCAAGATGAAAAAATTCGGCCGGGTGGTTATCTGTGGGGCCATTTCCACTTACAACTCGAAAATAAAAGCTACAGGTAGTGTAACCTGAATGACGTAGTTTCATGTAATGGCGCTTCGTTTTAGCCAGCGAAGTACAGACTACCGTGAAAGTGCAGCACCTGGTGATGGAAGGATTTAAGGTGACTCGGTTCAAGGACCAGTGGGATGAAGGTATTCAGCAGAATTTGCAATGGCTTAAAGAAGGGCGGCTGAAACCCTTCGAGCATATTGTCGATGGGTTTAGTAACACGCCCAATGCGTTCATAGGGATGTTTGCGGGTCAAAACTTCGGGAAAACAATTGTTAGAGTTGGATAAATAAACGTGAAAAATTGAGGTTAGGTTGTCCTTATGTCTCTTACGTCAATGTGTTCTTACCGACAAATCTTGGTAACTTTGGAAGTAGTCGCTGGAGTCCATGGTTTCCATCGTGGGGGCACTTTGGGGCTCGATTAACACCACAACACGCGCGTTTGCACTTAAACGTTTTTAAACATAAACAATTGTTTGTGAGCGGACCACACTGCGAGGTTAACACGACCGTTTTAACACGTTTTCCAAGTGGATTTTTTTGGAGATAAACAACGAAGAATGTGTGGCCAATTATACGACACTGTACTAACTGTACTAATAGAATAACTTAGGTTTAATTTTATTTCATCGGATCACAATTAGTGTTGATTGTGAACAACATCAACTGTGGGACCACTCTCTATGATAAACCTGGAATAAAATAAAAAAACATCCAGAACCACTACAACCGTATAAAATTGAAGTAACTAAAAGTAATGTAAGTTGCGAGTCCGTCAGAAGTACCCAACAGAAGATTCTGAAAAAACAAAAAAAAAACAAATTTTGTGTAGTAATAATTGTTTAAATAGTAATGCTGCAAATGTGTAAGCAAAATAAAATTTCACTTAAAAAAATGACGTCAAAATGACCGCAAATCTTATCGATCAACCCACCTTCCGAGTGTTTCCTTCCATATCTATGCTCATTTCCTTTGTGTAGTAAATAGTGAATCTGAGAGTGTCTACACATTCATGTTAAAAATGGTAAGTGGAATTTTGTTCCATTTTCTTCAAAGAGGAACTTTTGTTTTAATATGCTTTTAAATTGTTCCGCGGATTTTGAGTACCTCTGATAAATAACTATACAGGGATTTTCAGCAAAAGTAACTAACCGCAAAATTTGCGCCAAACTTTCGACTAAAGTACCGAGTGATTGTTAATATTTGTGACTTTTTTTGTGAGGTTGGCGACATATTTACAATTTTATGACATACCTAATTGTCAAAGTGACATTTATGAAAGCTGTCATTGTCTCAACCAATCAACACGTTTGCTAAGCGTGCTCATGCCAAAACTGACAACTCTGAACTGACGTACTAGCATGGATTCCAATATTTAGCATTGCCAGTACAAAAGTTTATCTCGGGGACCCTTTCCTTGTATCTGGTTTTTAAAGTAGTTTGAAAAAATCTCGGGCAACCCTTGTGCTGGTTTTTGAAGTACATAATTTGAAAGAACCTCGGGGAGCCTTTTTGTCCGAATTTTGAAGTATGTAGTTTGAAGAATCTCCTCGGAGACCTCTTTCTTTTTGAAAAAACCTCGGGGATTCCTTGTGTCTGATATTTGAAGTACGTAGTTTGAAGGATCTCGGAGACCTCTTTCGTTTTGTTTTTGAAGGACTTTGAAAGAATCTCGGGGACCTTTTGTGTGTGATTTTTAAAGTAGTTTGAGGGATCCCGGAGACCCTTTCGTTTTTTTAAGTAGTTGAAAGAACTTTGTGCTTGTTTTTGAAGTACCTACATAGAGTTTGAAAGATCCCCGGTAACTCTTCCTTTTTGTTTTTGAAGTAGATTTAAAGAATCTCGGGCACCCCTTGTGTCGCATTTTTGAAGTAGTTTGAAGGATCTCAGGGACCTCTTTCTTTTTGTAGAACTTTGAAAGAATCTCGGGAATCGCTTGTGTTTGGTTTTTGAAGCAGTTCGAAGGAACTCGGAGACCCTTTTTTTTGTTTTTGAAGTGGTTTGAAAGAATGTCGGAAATTCATTTTGTTTTTTTTTAAGTAGTTGAAAGAATCCAGGGAACCACTCGTGCTGGTTTTTGAAGTAGTTTTAAAGAATGTCGGGGACCCCTTGTGCTGGTTTTTGAAGTAGTTTTGAATCTCGGAGACACCAATTTTTCTTTTTGAAGTAGCTGAAAAAGGACCGCTTTTGTTTTGTTTTTGAAGTGATCTGAAAGACTGTCAAGGATTCCTTGTGTTTTTTTGGAAGTAGTTGAAAGAGTCTCGGAGAGCCCTTGAGCTAGTTTTTGAAGTAGTTTTAAAGAATCTCGGAGATCCCTGTGCTGGTTTTTGCAATATTTTGAAAGAATCTCAGAGACCCCTTTTTTATTTTTAAAGTAGTTGAAAGAATCTCGGGAACTCCTTGTGCTGGTTTTCGAAGTAGTTTTAAAGTGTTTCGGGGAACCCTTGTTCTGGTTTTTGAAGTAGTTTTAAAGAATCTCGGAGACCCATATTTTTTGTTTTTGAAGTAACTGAAAGAATCTCGAAGACCACTTGTGTTTGGTTTTTGAAGTAGTTTTAAAAAATCTCTGCAACCCATTGTGCTGGTTTTTGAAGCATTTTGAAAGAATGTCGGGGATTCTTTTTGTTTTTTTTTTGAAGTAGTTGAAAGAATCTCGGGGACCTCTTGTGATAGTTTTTGAAGTAGTTTTAAAGAATCTCGGGGACCTCTGTGCTGGTTTTTGCAGTATTTTGAAAGAATCTTGGGGGACCCTTTTTTTATTTTTAAAGTAGTTGAAGAATCTCGGGAACTCCTTGTGCTGGTTTTTGAAGTAGTTTTAAAGTGTCTCGGGGAACCCTTGTTCTGGTTTTTGAAGTAGTTTTAAAAAATCTCGGAGACCCATATTTTTTGTTTTTGAAGTAACTGAAAGATTTCGAGGACCACTTGTGTCTGGTTTTTGAAGTAGTTCGAAAGAATCACAGAGACCGCTTTTGTTTTGTTTTTGAAGGGGTTTGAAAGAATGTCAACGATTCCTTCTGTTTTCTTTTTTTGAAGTAGTTTAAAGAGTCTCGGGGACCCTTTGTGCTGGTTTTTAAAGTAGTTTTAAAGAATCTCGGGAACCCATTGTGCTGATATTTGAAGTATTTTGAAAGAATGTCGGGGATTCTTTTTGTTTTTTTTTTTTTGAAGTAGTTGAAAGAATCTCGGGGACCTTTTGTGATAGCTTTTGAAGTAGTTTTAAAGAATCTCGGAGACCCCTTTTTTTGTTTTTGAAGTATTTTGAAAGAATGTCGGGGATTCCTTTTGTTTTTTTTTTTGAAGTAGTTGAAAGAATCTCGGGGACCTCTTGTAATAGTTTTTGAAGTAGTTTTAAAGAATCTCGGGGACCCCTGTGCTGGTTTTTGAAGTATTTTGAAAGAATCTCGGGAGACCCTTTTTTTATTTTTAAAGTAGTTGAAGAATCTCGGGAACTCCTTGTGCTGGTTTTTGAAGTAGTTTTAAAGTGTCTCGGGGAACCCTTGTTCTGGTTTTTGAAGTAGTTTTAAAAAATCTCGGAGACCCATATTTTTTGTTTTTGAAGTAACTGAAAGATTTCGAGGACCACTTGTGTCTGGTTTTTGAAGTAGTTCGAAAGAATCACAGAGACCGCTTTTGTTTTGTTTTTGAAGGGGTTTGAAAGAATGTCAAAGATTCCTTCTGTTTTCTTTTTTTGAAGTAGTTTAAAGAGTCTCGGGGACCCTTTGTGCTGGTTTTTGAAGTAGTTTTAAAGAATCTCGGGAACCCATTGTGCTGATATTTGAAGTATTTTGAAAGAATGTCGCGGATTCCTTTTGTTTTTTTTTTTGAAGTAGTTGAAAGAATCTCGGGGACCTTTTGTGATAGCTTTTGAAGTAGTTTTAAAGAATCTCGGAGACCCCTTTTTTTGTTTTTGAAGTATTTTGAAAGAATGTCGGGGATTCCTTTTGTTTTTTTTTTGAAGTAGTTGAAAGAATCTCGGGGACCTCTTGTAATAGTTTTTGAAGTAGTTTTAAAGAATCTCGGGGACCCCTGTGCTGGTTTTTGAAGTATTTTGAAAGAATCTCGGGAGACCCTTTTTTTATTTTTAAAGTAGTTGAAGAATCTCTTGAACTCCTTGTGCTGGTTTTTGAAGTATTTTTAAAGTGTCTCGTGGAACCCTTGTTCTGGTTTTTGAAGTAGTTTTAAAGCATCTCGGAGACCCTTTTTTGTTTTTGAAGTAGTTGAAAGAATCTCGGGGACCACTTATGTCTAGTTTTTGAAGTAGTTTGAAAGAATCTCGGGGACCGCTTTTGTTTTATGTTTGAAGTGGTTTGAAATAAATAATATCAAGGATTCCTTCTGTTTCTTTTTGAAGTAGTTGAAAGAATCTCGGGGACCCCTTGTGCTGGTTTTTGAAGTAGTTTTCAAGAATCTCGGGAACCCATTGTGCTGGTTTTTGAAGTATTTTGAAAGAATGTCGGGGATTCCTTTTGTTTTTTTTGAAGTAGTTGAAAGAATCTAGGGGACATCTTGTGATCGTTTTTGAAGTAGTTTTAAAGAATCTCGGAGACCCCTGTGCTGGTTTTTGCAGTATTTTGAAAGAATCTCGGAGACCCCTTTATTATTTTTAAAGTAGTTGAAAGAATCTCGGGAACTCCTTGTGCTGGTTTTTGAAGTATGTAGTTTTAAAGTTTCTCGGGGAACCCTTGTTCTAGTTTTTGAAGTAGTTTTAAAAAATCTCCGAGACCCATATTTTTTGTTTTTGAAGTAACTGAAAGAATCTCGAGGACCACTTGTGTCTGATTTTTGAAGTAGTTTGAAAGAATCTCAGAGGCCGCATTTGTTTTGTTTTTGAAGTGGTTTGATAGAATGTCAAGGATTCCTTCTGTTTTTTTTTTTGAAGTAGTTGAAAGAGTCTTGGGGACCCCTTGTGCTGGTTTTTGAAGTAGTTTTAAAGAATCTCGGGAACCACTTATGTCTAGTTTTTGAAGTAGTTTGACAGAATCTTGGGGACCGCTTTTGTTTCATGTTTGAAGTGGTTTGAAATAAATAATATCAAGGATTCCTTCTGTTTTTCCTTTGAAATAGTTCAAAGAATCTCGGGGACCTCTTGTGCTGGTTTTTGAAGTAGTTTTAAGGAATCTCGGGGACCCATTGTGCTGGTTTTTGAAGTATTTTGAAAGAGTCTCGGGGACCCCATTTTTTTGTTTTTGAAGTAGTTTTAAAGCATCTCGGAGACCCCTTTTTTGTTTTTGAAGTAGTTGAAAGAATCTCGGGGACCACTTATGTCTAGTTTTTGAAGTAGTTTGAAAGAATCTCGGGGACCGCTTTTGTTTTATGTTTGAAGTGGTTTGAAATAAATACTTAATATCAAGGATTCCTTCTGTTTTTCCTTTGAAGTAGTTGAAAGAATCTCGGGGATCCCTTGTGGTGGTTTTTGAAGTAGTTTTAAAGAATCTCGGGAATCCAGTGCGCTGGTTTTTGAAGTATTTTGAAAGAATGTCAGGGATTCCTTTTGTTTTTTTTTTTGAAGTAATTGAAAGAATCTCGGGGACCTTTTGTGATGGTTTTTGAAGTAGTTTTCTAGAATCTCAGGAACCCATTACGCTGGTTTTTGAAGTATTTTGAAAGAATGCCGGGGATTCTTTTGTTTTTTTTTTTGAAGCAGTTGACAGAATCTCGGGGACCTCTTGTGATGGTTTTTGAAGTAGTTTTCAAGAATCTCGGGGATCCATTGTGCTGGTTTTTGAAGTATTTCCAAAGAATTTCGGGGACCCCTTTTTTTGTTTTTGAAGTAATTGAAAGAATCTTGGGAACCCCTTGTACTGGTTTTTGAAGTATTTTGAAAGAATATCGGGATTCCTTTTGTTTTTTTTTGTTTTTGAAGTAGATAGTTTGAAAGAATCTCAGCGACCGCTTTTGTTTTATGTTTGAATCTCGGGGACCCCTTTTTTGTTTTTGAAGTAGTTTTAAAGAATCTCGGAGACCCCTTTTTTTGTTTTTGAAGTAGTTGAAAGAATCTCGGGGACCACTTATGTCTAGTTTCTGAAGTACATAGTTTGAAAGAATCTTGACGGCTTAAAGTGGTTTGAAATAAATAATATCAAGGATTCCTTCTGTTTTTTTTTTGAAGTAGTTGAAAGAACCTTGGCAATCCCTTGTACTGGTTTTTGAAGTACATAGTTTTAAAGAATCTCAGAGACCACTTTTTTTGTTTTTGAAGTATGTAGTTGAAAGAATCTCGGGAACCACTTGTGTGTCGTTTTTCTTTTTGTTTTTTTTTTTTTGAAGTAGTTGAAAGAATCTCGGGAACCCCTTGTGATGGTTTTTGAAGTAGTTTTAAAGAATCTCGGAGACCGTTTTTTTGTTTTTGAAGTAGTTGAAAGAATCTCGGGGACCCATTGTGCTGGTTTTTGAAGTAGTTTTAAAGAATCTCGTGGACCCCTGTGCTGGGTTTTTGAAGTAGTTTAAAGAATCTCGGGGACCCATTGTGCTGGTTTTTGAAGTAGTTTTAAAGAATCTCGGGGACGCATTGTGCTGGTTTTTGAAGTAATTTTAAAGAATCTCGTGGACCCCTGTGCTGGGTTTTTGAAGTAGTTTTAAAGAATCTCGGGGACCCTTTGTGCTGGTTTTTGAAGTAGTTTTAAAGAATCTTGGGATCCTTGATCTTGTTTTTTGAAGTAATCTGGAAGACTCTGACTTTGGTTTAAGAAGTAAAAGTTTGTTCGACTTGACAGAACTTCAAAGTCATTTAATAGATATTCTCTATTAACTAACCTTGACAGAACTTGTCTTGTCATGTTGACAATTGACAACATTTGTAGTTTTGCCACTACCAGAGTACAAAATTACTAGCAGGCAGTAGACATATATAAATACAAAAAAAAAACACTCAGCAATCACATTAAAAGTAATCAATCAGTCGGTTTCGTGTCATCAATGTCGTCATACTTCTAATAATATTTGTAAAAATATTCCTTGGTCCACGTTTTGCCTTTTGCCCTATACCCCCAACCCTGCCTGACGTTTCCATTGACAAGTGACAACTGACAATACGTCAACAACATAACCCCCAATCCGACGCTTTTCACCCTCGAAAATGATGAAACAACGACAAAAGTGCGTATCCGCCGACACCACCCCCCAAAATAACCCCCTCATTTCTTCCAGATCGAAGTCCGACGCCAGCTACAAAAAATTCGGCAAACACAGTGACAGCGAAGACGAGAACGAGCTCTCCACACTCCGCCCGTCCCCTAAGAAAGAACGGGCCACCGTGGAGAAGACCGTCGAGGAGGGGGACACGCTGCAGTCCCTCGCCATCCGCTACTGCTGCACTGTAAGCCCCCCGCTGTCGTTTTCTTTCACTCGAAGTGACTTTCCAGATCGAGGACTTGAAGCGCCTCAACAACATCCACAAAGAGAACGAGATTTTCGCCAAACGGACGATCAAAGTGCCGCATCACCCCATTTCTCAGGCGCTGGCGGGCGTGCACGTCAGCGGCCGCAGCTCGCCGAGTTTCGCGTCGACGAGTAGCCAAGTGGATACCGATAGACTGACTAGTAGTTTAAAAGAAACTGAAGTGAATCAGATTATTTTTAATAGTAATTTATCGCAGAAAGGCGCGGCGGTGGAAGAGGAGGAGGACGACGACGACGACGAAGAGGTGCATTTGCTGCCTCACAGCGACATGACTGAACCTATTGCGTCTAGGTTAAATTGTAGCGGAGTCGATGGCGATATTTCGCTTAAAGCTCTCATTCTGTGTATAGTGATTCTCATTTTCGCCGTGCCCATTGTCTACGTGTTTTACGTGGCGGAGCACCCGGAACAGTATCACCACGCGCCCTCATGACGGCTTAACGATCTGCTTGTGGTAAGCAGTTGTCTCTCAAAGTATTAAATTTGTACTCGCTTTAATTTTAACAAGTTTTAATCAGTGTATTGTTGAAAATGTAAATTTTATGCGGCAGTTGTAATAAAACTAAGTTTTACTTTAATATTTTATTCATTTCAGACAATTATTTATTGATTATGAGAAACTTAACCTACAAAAATATTTGGTTGTATATTTGCAATTCGATCACGGAACAATTTTAAATGAACTGAACAAAGAACTAATTTGTACTGGATTGTTCCCTGATGTACAAAAATGCAAATGCATCATCGGTTAGTACTATACATCAAATGGGGTTACGCTGTATAACGACCGTTATATTATAAATATATATAAAATATTAAAAGCGTGATCGGTATAATGCTCACGCGTTTAATTCACAATATACAAAATGTAACAAAAATACTTTGATTCCTCTCAAAAACTATAAAAATATACAAAAGAAATATTCGTGATGTAAATGTCTAAAACTGAATTTTAATGCCCACAAATCAATCTTGGAATGTTCTAAATGAGAATAATGTAGGCTGCTGGGTCTCAGGGCACGTGTCTTCAATAGCTGTTGCGGTCGGAGTTGTTGTGGACACTGAAAAAAGAAAAAAAAAATAAATCGGGACCCCCTAACTCAGTTAAAGCATTGTTTAAGTATATTATAGTTGGACAACCTATACGGACAATCACTTTCCCATGTAGAAAAGAATGAATATATATTTTACATCTCACTCGCTTCACTATGAAGTGGCGGTACCTTACGAAAGGGGGTAGAAATAGTCTGTAAGCAGGTGATGTCGATAAGGTAGTAAACGGACGTATTAATCAGCACGTTGTACGGGGAGCAGTCACAAAATAAGCAAACGTACGTGTTGAAGACTTTACTGTAATATATGTATATGTAGTGCATACCTGATAATTCAATATGAACATCTTCTTACGTATTTTTTTTATTAACAGTAGTCAAATCATTAAATACATATTATTTTTGAAACTAAAATGCATTTTATCCTAAGATTGTATCACAAAATATTCATCACCATTTAAATATATACGATTTAGAAATCAAGAAATAAATTTAAAACTGCAAAAATTATACTAAAACAGCCTTAAATGTGTCTTGTATTACGTGCTTATCAGTATGTAGGCATTTTAACGCACAGCAATAATCGTTCTTGATGAGTAATGACTGATGACAACTGTAACACAGTATCGAAACATTAAAAAATCAAAAAAATTAAAATTGGAAAATCTAAAATTTAAAAATCGAGAAATTGAACAATTGGTTAATTCAAAAATCGAAACATCGCAAAATTGGAAAATCGAAAAATAAAAAAAAATTGGACAATCGAAAATTTAAAAATTCCGAAAATTGAAAAATTGAAATATAGAGAACTGAAAACTCAAAAAATCGAAAAAAATTAATAATTTCAAAAATTGAACGAAATATCAAAAAATTAGGAAATTAAAAAATTGAGAAACAAAAAAGCAGAGTTTAAAAATCACAAACTTAAAAAATCGAAAAATTGAAAAATCAAAAACCTGAATAATCGAAAAATTGAAGAACTGAAGAACTGAAAAATCGAAACTTTAGGAAGTGGAGAAATGGGAATATAAAAAAATAGATTAATTGAGAAATCCGAAAACTAAAAATTCAGAAACGTCAAAATTTGAAAAATAAAAAAATATTTAAGAACTAAAAAATCGAAAAATCTAAAATTTAAAACATTGAAAAGTTAAAATATCCTAAAACTGAAAAATGGAGAAATCCAAACATCAAAAAATCAAAAATAAAAATAAAAATCTAAAATTTAATAATCGAAAAACTGAAAAATCGGATAAATCAAAAATCGAAACATCGAAAAATCAAAAGACAAAAAAAATCGAGGAGTCGAAAAATCGAGAAGTCGAAAAATCAAAAAATTGAGAAACCGAAGTAGGCCAAAATCGAAAACTTAAATATGGAAAAATTGATAAAGCGAGAGATTGAATAATCAAAACATCGAAACATCTGAATCTCAATGAATTCAGATCTCAAAAAATTTAAACATTCGTAAATTTAAAAAATTAAAATATGAAAAAGTTGAAAAATTGAGAAATTGAAATAAAAAACAAAAAACTGAAAATCCAAAAATAAAAAATAGAAAAATCTAGAAGTCGAAAAATGAAAGAATCGAAGTATTGAAAAATATCAAAACTGAAAGAAATATCCAAAAATTGAGAAATCGACAAACCAATAAAGCGAAGTCGAAAAATCGAAGAATTGAAGAACTGAAAAATCGAAACTTTGAGAAGTGGGAAAATCAAAAATAGATTAATTGAGAAATCAGAAAACTGAAAATTTAACGCAAAAATTTGAAAAATTCAAAAATTTAAATACTGAAGAACTGAAAAGTCAAAAAATCGAGAAATCGAAAAAACTAAAATTTAAAACAATGAATAATTAAAATATCGCAAAATTGAAGAATCGAGAGGTCCAATTCAATTTGAAAAATTGAAAAATCCAGAAATTGAAAAGCTCAAAAGAGAAAAATCGAAAAACCGAGAAATCCAAAAATCGAAACATCGAAAAATTCAAAAACTGAGACTTCGAGGAATCGAAAAATCGGAGGATCGAGAAATTGAGGAGTCGGAAGCCGAAAAAGAAAGTTAAAAATTGAAAAATTGAGAAATTGAACAATCAAAACAACGAAACATCTGAATTCGATAAATTGAGAAATTAAAAAATTGAATAATCGAAAAATTTTAAAAAAGAAAAACTGGAAAATCAAAAATTAAAATTAAAAAAATCGAAAAATCGAAAAATTGAAATATAGAAGAACTGAAAACTCGAGATATCGAAAAACCTAGAATTTTAAAAAATGAAATATTAAAACATCGAAAAGTTTAAAAATTGAGAAATCGAAGCATTAAACAGTCCCAGAATTGAAAAATCTAAAGTTTACAATAGGAAATTGAAAATCCAAAAAGGAAAAAAGCGACAAATAAAAAAAAATCCATCAATTCAAAAATCGAAAAGTCGAAAAATTGAAATATTGAAAAATCTCATAACTGAAAGAAATATTCAAAAAATTGAGAAATTAAAAAATTGGAAAATTGAGAAATCGAAAATCTAAAAAAGCAAAATTGAAAAATCGTAATCTTAAAAAATCGAAAAATTGAGGAATTGAAGATGTGAAAAATCGAAACTTTAGGAAATCCAGAAATGGACAAATAAAAAAAATACTTTAGAAATCGGCAAACTGAAAATTTAGAAACGTGAAAATTTGAAAAATTGAAAAATCGAAATATTTAAAAACCGTAAAATTGAAGAGGACAAAAATTGAGAAATCGTATCATTGAAATATCGTAAGATTGAGAAATCGAAAAATAAAAAAAATCGAGAAATAGAAAATTTAAGGAATGGAGGAATCGGAAAAGCCCAAAATTGAAATATTGAAAAATTGAGACATTTAAAGTTGAAAAATCGAGAAATCGACAAGCCGAAAAATCCCAATAGCGTATTTAGGTATAAATCACAAGATCAGGACTATTCTACTTTTTAAAATTTAAATACATAACATTATAAATTGGAAAATGTTGATTTTTTTTTCCAAAAATCTTGACGTCTAAGGTGAAAACTCGACACGGATGCATAAACCGTAAACGGGGCAAAACTACAATTTTACTATTGTAAAATTTGGAAATTGCGTCATTTCATTGTTCGTGACAAATTTTGGAGAGTGTAATTTGATAATACAATTTGAAATGTAAATTTTGTCATTCGGGAACATTATGTATTAAATCGTTAAGATGTTCAAGAACTTTGTTCACTTATTCGTTGTAAAGTCCAATGGTCGAAATGGGTTAGTTCTTCGTAGTGGATGTGTATCACATCAACTCTAACGAATATCGGTTTATAGATAAATCGCTTAAAGCCGATATTGGCCTGAGTGTGCTTTGGTCTGTAGATCAAACAAGTTCTCAGGTGACGAAAAATTGCATGTGGAGTGAGACTTCGGATTACAAATCGTGCCAAGAAAGACATATTTGGGAGAGATGGATTTTCAGGTGCTTGACTAGCGGTAATTTTAAATTGTTTGCTGTCGTTCGCGAAGTGAAGAACACAATTTCATTAAAATGATAATTATAAAATTATCATAATCACTATTGGTATTAATTAACACAAAATGGCGCGCAAGTTATCAGTTGATTTCGTTAATAAATTCATAGAAACCTATATGGGATTTATTCATGCCTTAGAAAATTAAAAAGTAAAAAATACAATAACAAAAATTTTAAAATGCGGTTTACGAAAAATTAGTTGACCTGTGCAAAGAAGAAAATTTTGGAAACGCTGACAAATATGACATCTTAAAAAAAATAACACTTGAGAAGTGCTTTCGGCGTAGTACTTTTGATGCTGGCGTGAACAAAATACTCTGTGTGCAAAAAGTTTTAACTGTGCAGATCTAGCCGAAAATCCGAAAACCAAATCGCTGTGTGTAGGGCCAGCATAACGGAAGTAATAAATCATCCCATCGGTTGAAGAACGTTGGGTCGGTGCACTGATGTCGGTGTTATATCCCGAGAGGGACCCAATACACCTAATAACATCGAACAGACAAAATAAAGCTTCAAACATGATTATTTTTATACTAAAATTCTGAAGTTTATAAACTGCACATTTTATTTATTTATTTATTTTATCTTGTTTTCGAACTATAATAAACATTTCAAACAATGTCTGTAACTTATTTTAACGTAAATTATATTCATGTGGTTAACAAAATCAGATGTAATATTAGTGTGATTTTGACCTTATTCTAGATTTTATTACAGCAGAACGGCGTATCCTTTTTAAATTTTAGAAGTTACGGAAACTAGTTCAAGAAACAATTAGTTATCTCGTATTTTTGGAACAAAATCTACCAAAATGTCCGATAACAGCAATTGTTTTTCATAGAAACAAACAGTCTTCAAAGCAGCCTTTAACAACTCAATATTACAAACATGCCTCTTTAAGTTCTTTATGCGTTTTTTTCTCTCTTGTAATTATTTGTAATGTTAACGCCGAAAGTTTATGTCATTCTGTTATTTACTTTGAACATATATTTTCATTTTGTGTTAATATTTTTGTAACACCACGAATCTAAATTTTACTTAAAATCTTGTTTTACTTTAATCTTGTAAAACTAAACAATTATACCAGTTTAAAAACCCTTGGAAAGTTTCTGTCAGTCTTCAGATATAGTCAAATAAAAATATGCGTCAAATTCATTTAAATTCAATTCTTTCTTATCACCTTACAACGCGTTGCTTCATATTTTTTATGTCAAGTATATTTTCATATTTTGTACATATATGTTTATACACATTACTGTTTACGGAACAATGTTAATTATGGATTTATGGATAACTCCTCGTATAAAAGCAGAGTGAAGGGTGTTTGCCTTTGCTAATGTTTGATGGCGCCATCTGATTTAGAGTAAAATAAACCTAATACGTTGGCTCACTGTAGTGAAAATGCGCGTTGACGAAAAATTTGTCCCACGCCCCCTGGATTCCTTGTCCTAAAGCTCACTATTTAGGCGAAGTAAAATTTGTATTAGGTTGTCCAACTATAATATACTTAAACAATGGTTAAAGCTAAAATCAAACTGCTCCAAAAACAAAGTCCCTAGAACTGTCATAATTTCTGCTGTCGTTGAACGAAACATAACCTCACTTTTCGAGCAGTTCGACCCGTGCACATGAACATGACGCCTATTTACAGACTTACGCTTGGTTAAATGCAATGAAACTCGCCACGTTTAGTACTGAAGTTCCACGAAGCCAGCGAACGGCTTTGTGGGATGATTAGTGATTCCTTGTTACGTAAAAATTAGAACAACAAAATCACTAGTCTTCCACACAACGCCACCCTTGTTAGTCACTCCACACCAGATTAGTGATTACACACTCCATTAGTCCACACGCCACACTGTTATTTACAAAATATACAACCACGTTGTTGCATCCGGTCCACACGGCGATGCAACGACGTTTACAAATCTCGTACGGTACCGAAAAGCCGCGAGGTCGGCCGACGTGTCTCGATCAACCAATCGGCGTACGCCACGTCGCCGACCTCGCTGCACGAACCTCACCTTTGCTGCAGCAAGTACTGCGCCATCTGTATCTGGTTCGGCGTACCGGTGATGGTTATGATGCGGTCGTTGGAGCCTGGAAGGGGTTCGTCGATGGTTATCCCGGCCCCGGAGTCCTGGCGCACCTTGCGGATTCTGCCGCCGCCCTTACCGATGATGGCTCCGGCCAGCTGTAAACTCAGGGTTACAAACATCAACGATTGTACAGATGTGACTTACGTCTTTGGGTATGGTGACTTGCGTTGTCGTTTTGGCGCCGACCGCGCCGCCGTTCTGGGGCGGCATCGGGGGCTGGTTTAGGCCGTTGCTCATCATGCTAGCGGGCGGGTGATTGCCGACGGGGGTGGTACTGGCTGGGGTTCCCCACACGTTGGACTCGAAGGGAGCGGGGCGCGGGGTGCCATTGGTGGGCCCGTTGCCGTTGTAGTCTCTTCGCTGGGGGACTGTGACGCTGGAGCGATCGTTGAAGCTAAAAGTAGTACGTGATTATTATTTTGGTTTGTATATGGGGGAAAACCAAAATCGCGCTGTGGAGTTTTGTAAGAGCGACAATTAAAATTTGACCGCGCACGAATGCTCATTATAACGACAATTTTTTGTAGAATTGGTGGTTATACTTTGTGCTGGCAAGTTAAAGTGAGATTTGTCAAATATAAAATCTGAGTTCGTGTCGGGCTCACACACGCAATCACACACCTGCTATGCAGACGATGACCAACATTTTCACAAACGTTAATGAAACGAAAATAGAATTTTGTGGCGTAATAAGTGAAGTGGGGCTTGACAGCCCACAATGAATTGTTTTGATGTTCAGGGGTAGGATTTTGTTTCTACCGATACGATACGAAGCGATATATGATAAGGACGAAAATATAAATTTCAGATGCGAAAGAAAAAGACGACCACATTTTATCGGTACCGATATCTTATCGTTACAGGGGTGCGATTTTGTTTCTCGATCGAAAAAATCCATGAGCGATAAAATCTCGTTTGATGATTGGTTGAGATGCTACATTTCTGTCACATTTCTCGATTCTGTCACGAAATCAAGTCTTCATGGAGCGATCTTTTCTCGATAGCTCTGAGTAAAGTGATAAATTTTGGAGACATAACCTCGAAATTTATGTCATTGTAAACTTTTGAGCATTTAATAAGCTTATATGCAAAGAATAAATGCAAACTTTTGCATTTAAAACCTACGTAATGACATTTAATTTATCGCTTCGATCGAGAAACAAAATCCCACCCTACCTACTCTCTAAAAAAAAGCGAGGGTGGGCGGGGCTAGTACTTACCTAGATACGAATGAGTTTGGCAAATGACACCTTCCAAGAAAAGAGGGCGGGCGGGCGGGTCAATACTTGTCAAAATAAGATTGAGTTTGCCAAATGATATACCCTTTACCCTTCATTTTCTTAGAGGGTATGTCATTTGGCAAAATCAGTCTTATCTCATAAGTACCAGTCCCGTCCATTCGTCTTTCATTTTCTTAGAGAGTAGGTAATTTTCCAATATCAGTCTTATCTTGGCAGGTACTAGCCCCGCCCACCCACCCTCTTTTTTCTTAGAGGATATGTGATTTGCCAAAATCAGTCTTGTCTTAGCAAGTAGTAGCCCCGCCCACCCGCCCTCTATTTTTTTTTGAAGATATGTCATCTGCCAAAATCATTCTTATCTTAGCAAGTACTAGCCCCGCCCACCCGCCCTCTATTTTTTTGGAAGATATGTCATTTGCCAAAATCATTCTTATCTTAGCAAATACTAGCCCCGCCCACCCGTCCTTTTGTCATTCTAACGACTAATTTTATCTATATTTTCACTGAAAAGGAGACAGGGTGGGTGGGCGGGGATAATTATGTTCTTCTGTCGAGTGGGAATGGAAACTAATAATAGAATCTAGAAGAAAAAGTGCTAATCGTAACTTTTTTTGTTAAAATAAAAAAACATTTCAGTCGTTTCTGAAGGCTTGACAATCTAAAAATGGTAAAACGATTTCGTGAATTCTGAAATATGCTGAAATCGTTCTTTTGAAAATCTGAAACTTAAAAATAAAAATGAATACACCTAATTCTTTCTCAAAATTTTATAAATTGGATCTAATACTAAGAATACCCAAAAATGCCGATAGCATTAAATTAAATTCAGTTAAGTTGTTAATTTTTCTCGGTTTTTATTGTTAGTGTAATCAGCACATATTTTAGAAAATTCTTTAAAAGATATGTTAAAAGGCCTTCGATTTTGAACTTCTCTGAATCGTCTGTCTTAAGGATTTTTCAAAATAACAGAAGTTTCGTCATTTAAGAAACGAAATTCTGGATATCTAAAGTTATAACTTTAACAATTTAGGAACAATTTTTTATTGAAATGGGGTACAAAAAGTACAATTAATAATAATTTCCTTCTTCATCTACAACATTCTTATAGAAAGTTATTTTGCCTTTTTTCTTAATGTACATATTATTCTTTGAACAACACGATACTCAAAAACATGTTTTTAATTTGTCCTAGAGAAATATCAATTTTCCAGTTAAACTCCGCCCCTCTTGGCTAACAACGAATAATAAAAAAAAAACACAATTGAGATAGGGCGGGTGGGCGGGCATACATTTTGCCTTTTCGTTTTAATATGTATAGACTTCTTTTCCTAACATAAAACTTAAAACATCTTTACAATGCAAAATTTGTAGAAGGAAATATCGATTTTGCGATTAAGCTCCGCCCCATAATTGCAAAATCCATATTTCCTTGCAAAAATGTACCATTTAACCATGTTCTAAGTTTGTAGTTGTGAAAAGATGACTATGTATATCAAGAAGAAAAGGAAAAATATAAGCCCCGCCCACCCACCCTGTCTCAGTTCTGATGATTTTTTATTTGACGTGAATCAAGAGGGCGGAGCTTAACAGCAAAATCCTTATTTCTCCACGAGGAATTAAAACCATGTTTTTGAGTATCGTGTTGGTCAAAGAATACTATATATATTAAGAAAAAATTAAAGCCCCATCTATACTTGCCCTGATCTAAATATGTAGTAATCCATTTTCGTTCGTTACAAGACTAGGGGCTAATTGCTAAATTCAGCAAAAATTTATCATTTTAAACGTCTTTTCACTTTCTAAGAATAAAAAAATCATCACAAGTGAGATGGGGTGGGTGGGCGGGGTAAACATTTTGCCTTTTTTCTTAATGGACATATTATTCTTTGAACAACACGAGACTCAACAACATGCTTTTAATTTCTTGTAAAGAAATAAGAATTTACTTTTTTCTCGAATTAAATATAAGTGTTTGGAGCAGGCCTTGGAATTATTTGTCGTTTATTTGTAACAGGGTAATTATTTTCGGAGACTAAGTAGGCAACAGTCTAGAGCATGGATAGTTTCATCATTACAATGTCAACTACAGTCGGGTTGACAGATAATTGACGACTGAACAATATTAAGAGTAATCACTGGAATGAAGACGGGATGGGTGGGCGGGGCTATGCATGCTCATAAAACATTCTGTATGGAAAAGTTAAACTTAGCCCCGCCCGCCCACCCGATCTCTCATTTTGTTCTTCAGAAATAATAAATAAATGTGGCAGCAAATAAGTAGTATAACAAAAAAATTACGATTAACGTTTTTTTAACAGTCTACCTCCGAATAGTTGCCATTCTCACTTTACAAAAGAACAGGTAAATGACATACCTTCTATGAAATAAAGGGTGGGTGGGAGGGGCTAGTACCTGCTAAGATAGGACTGATTGTGGCAGACGACATACCCTCTAAGAACATAGAGGGCGGGTGGGCGGGGGTAGTAATTCCTAAGATAGGACTGATTTTGGCAAATGGCATAACTTCTAAGAAAAAAAAAAAGGGTTGGTGGGCGGGGTTAAAACTTGCAACACTAGGACTGAACAATATTAAGAGTAGTCACTGGAACGAAGAAGGGGTGGGTGGGCGGGGTAATTACTTGCTTATGAAAGATTCTGTACGAAAAAGTTAAACTTAGCCCCGCCCACCCACCCGTTCTCTCATTGTTAAGATAAGATTGATTTTGGTAAGTGACTGAACAATATTAAGAGTAATCACTGGAATAAAGAGGGGGTGGGTGGGCGGGGTTATGTATGCTTATTAAACATTCTATATGGAAAAGTTAAACTTAGCCCCGCCCACCCACCCATTCTCTCATTTTGGTTTTCAGAAATAATAAATAAATGTTATAGCAAATAAGTAGTATAACAAAAAAATTACGATTTACGTTTTTTTTTTGACAGCCTACATTCAATTAGTTCCCATTCTCACTTTAGAAAAGAACAAGTAATTCACCCCGCCCACCCACCCGGCCTCTTATTTCAGTGATTTATTTTGGATTTAGTTCAAATGAAAGGTGGATCTTTCTATGGAGAGATAAAATCGTTAGAATAAGAACAGCATGTGTGGGAGGGGCTAGTATCTGCGAAGATAAAATTTTTGGTAAATGACATACCCTCGTAAGAACATAGAGGGAGGGTGGGCGGGGATAATACTACTTGTTAAGATAAGCTCGATTTTAGTAAATGAAAAATGACTGAACAATATCAAGAGTAATCATCGGAATGGAGAGGGGGTGGGTGGGCGGGGCTAATACTTGGGTATAAAAGCTTATCTGTGAAAAAGTTGAATTTAACCCCGCCCACCCACCCATTCTCTCATTTTTTTCTTCAGAAATAACAAATAAATGTTATGGCAAATACGTAGTATAACAAAAAAATTAAAACTAACGTTCCCAGTCTCACTTTACAGAAGAACATATAATTCATCCCGCCCACCCACCCAGCCTCCATTTCTGGATTTATTTTGTCTAGTCCGAATAAAAGGTGGATCTCAATTGAAGAGAGATAAAATCGTTAGAATGAAAACAGCTTGTGGGCGGGGCTAGTATCTGCTAAGATAAGATTGATTTTGGTAGATGACATACCCTCTAAGAAAATAAAGGGTGGGTGGGAGGGGCTAGTACTTGCTAAGATAAGACTAATTGTGGCCAACGACATACCCTCTAAGAAAATAGAGGGCGGATGGGCGGGGCTAGCACTTGTTAAGATAAGATTGATTTTGGTAGATGACTGAACAGTATTAAGAGTAATCATGAGAATGAAGAGGGGGTGGGTGGGTGGAGCTATTGCTTGCTTATAAAAGATTCTGTATGAAAAACTTAAACTTAACCCCGCCCACCCACCCGTTCTTTCATTTTTTTTTCAACAGAAATAAGAAATAAATGTAATAGTAAATAACAAAATAATATAACAAAAAATCAAAAATTACGATTAACGCCTTCTCTTCACTGATAGTACTTGCTGAGATAAGACTGATTATGGCAAACATACCTTCTAAGAAAATAGAGGGCGGGTGGGCGGGGCTACTATTTGTTAAGGTAAGGGTGATTTTGGCAAATGACATATCTTCTAAGAAAAAACAAGGGTGGGTGGGCGAGGCTAAAATTTGCTCAGCCAGGACAGAACAATATTAAGAGCAGTCACTGGAACAAAGAAGGGGTGGGTGGGCGGGGCTACTGCTTGCTCATAAAACTAGAAAAAACTAAATTTAGTCCCACCCACCTTTTTTCTCCATTTCACTGACTTAATGTAAATTGAAAAATAACAGTATTGTATTCCCAAAATTTCCAAGTATTCAGTTTTGCAATTCTTGACTTAAACAATAAAATAAATTGACTCACTCATTAATCTTTTTGAGACACCCTGTATAAGCAAATCTAAAAAATACTAATGCACTGATAAATCACAATTATAGACTCATACTTTGCACATTGAAGATAGGAGTTATTCGGCAAAATTTTGAGCCGACGTCATCAGTTTTTTAGGGAGAATGAGCAAACACATTTTGATAAAAAAATTGTCATGCTTCTGATAATATTAAAAGGTCTCCAAGAGTTCAAAGCATTGGGTTTTGCAGTTCCTGAATAAATTATTAAAATAGATTCAAGCATTCATTAATTTTTTGAGTCACCCTGTATATGCAAATCCAAAAAAATTGAAATTTTTTAAAAGTTGCCTCAAAATTCTCAAAAAATTCTGAGGTATAGATCTCGAGAAGCTGATTCCAAAAATATGAAGAATCCATGGTACCTGACCAAGGCTTTCGAAAACATATTTGACAATGAATTTTTTTAAAATCTCGAAAATTTTCATTTTTTATTTTATCAACGAATTCTGGACAAATTCTGGGAATTTTCGAAAAAGTCAAACAGCATATGACTTCTGCAAGTCGAACTCTACAAGAAAATGTCTCTGGATAATTTTCGAAAAGTGCTCAAAAAACGGTAAAAAAATTAATTTCGAAAAATTGAAATCTTTTAAAAGTTGCCTAAAAATTCTCAAAAAATTCTGAGATACATATCTCGACAAGCTGATTCGAAAAATACGAAGCGTCAGTGATCTCAGACGAAGGTTTTTGAAAATATGTTAACAATGGATTTTTAAAAAATTTCGAAAATTTTCGTTCATCATTTTGTCAATATTTTCTGGAAAAATTGTGGAAATTTTCGAAAGTCAAGCCGCATGCAACTTCCACAAGTCGAACTTTACAAGAAAATGCCTTTGGATAATTTTCGAAGACTGCTCAAAAAACGGATAAAAAATTTATTTCGAAGAATTGAAATTTTTTAAGTTACCCAAAAATCCTCGACAAATTCTAGGATATAGATCTCGAGAAGCTGATTCGAGAAATTCGAACGTCAATGTTCCCAGACCAAGATTTTCGAAAATCTGTTTGATGATGACATTTTTTCAATTTCTCGAAATTGTCACTTTTTATTTTATCAATAAATTCTGAAAAAAATGTGGGGATTTTAGAAGAACTCAAGCCAAAGATAACTTTTACAAGTCGAACTCTACAAGAAAATGTCTTTTGGTAATTTTCGCAGTTCTCGAAAAACGGTAAAAAAATTCATTTTGAAAAATTGAATTTTTTTAAGTTGCCTAAAAATCCTCGAGAAATTCTGGGATATAGATCTCGGGACGCTGATTCGAAAAATATGAAGCGTCAATGGTCCCAGACCAAGGTTCTCAAAAATCTGTTCGATAATGAAATTTTTAAAATTTTTGAAAATTGTCATCAATAAATTCTGGACAAATTGTGGCAACTTTCGAAGAAGTCAAGCTGAATATAACATCCAGAAGTCGAACTCTACAAGAAAATGTCCTTGGGTAATATAACTAAAACATTGCTTTTGAAAAATCGAAATTTTTGAAAAGTTGCCTAAAAATCTTCAAAAAATTCTCAGATACAGATTTCGAGAAACTGATTCGAAAAATATGAAACGTCAGTGGTCCCAGACCAAGGTTATTGAAAATATGTTGACAATGAAGTTTTTAAAAATCTCGAAAATTGGCATTTTTTATTTTATCAATAAATTCTGGAAAACTTGTGGGAATTTTCGAAAAAGTCAAGCTGAATGTAATTTAAGTCGAATTCCACAAGCAAATGTCATTGGATAATTTTCGAAGAATGTTAAAACCGTTAAAAATTTCCTTTTGAAAAATTGAGTTCTTTGAAAGATTGACTAAAAATCCTCTAAAAATTCTCAAATACAGATCTCGAAAAATATGAAGCGTCAAAGGTCCCAGACCAAGGTTTTCAAAAATCTGTTTGATAATTAATTAAATTTTGTAAATATCTCAAAAATTGTTTTCAATTTTATCAATAAATTGTGCAAGAATTGTAGGAGTTTTCGAAAAAGTCGGGCTAATTATAATCTCTACAAGTCGAACTCTACAAGAAAATGTCTCTGGATAATTTTCGAAAAGTGCTCAAAAAACGGTTAAAAAATTAATTTCGAAAAATTGAAATCTTTTAAAAGTTGACTAAATATTCTCAAAAAATTCTGGAATATAGATCTCGAGCTCATTCGAAAAATATGAAGTGTCAATGGTTCCAGACCCATATTTTTGAAAATTTCTTTAACAATAAAAAATAATTTTGAAAAATTGAAATCTTTTAAAAGTTGCCTCAAAATTCTCAAAAAAATATGAGGTATAGATCTCGAGAAGTTGATTCCAAAAATATGAAGCTTCCATGGTACCAGACCAAGGTTTCGAAAATGTTTTATAACTTTGATTTGTAAAAATCTGGACATTTCGGGCAAAAACGCAACACGGAATCATAAACTACAATTACTTGTTATTAATTGTTACTACAATTTTAAAGTGAGTGCAATCTAGACAAAAATGAAAAACTAACTCCACCCAGCTCCGTTTTTGAATTTCAGTGGCTTATTTTATTTCCTGAGAAGTTTGGTTAGGTCAATATGAGATTTATAATAGACGGCACACAGACAGACACACAGACAGATAGACAGACAGACGGAAACTGAGATTTATTTCTTCATACTCTAGGGGTCACAAAAAGTCGAACAAAGTAAAACCGCAATTTTTACAATTTAAAAAAGCTACATCACTGTAAACAACATTTTTATTTCCACGAAGTTTTTTCATCCATCTTTAACAAAAAATTCCCCGTTCTCTACATTTTCCACGAATACGTAAAAACAAAATTGTTGATGTTTTTCAACGTTTAATATTATTCATAAAATACTAATTCCACACAACTGAATAATAAGAAAAACATGATTACAGAGCGAAAGTGGAAACGCTTAGTTATGCAGCACACAATACATCACCGTATTGATATTTACAACAACACACCACATTTAATTTTCTATTCGCTTGAGAACGCAACATATGGATCACCATTACTTGTGTATTCTAAATATTAAAGTAAATAATGTTGTTTGATTTATCAAAACAAATATTTTAAAAAAGCAAACACACGCACACACGTGATGAGCAACGGGGAACTTTTTATGCGTGATTTTGACCACACAATAGTCGATTATAGCGAAGTTAGAGCTGGATGATACTCATCAAATGAATCCATTATGAAGTAGCCAAAACACACATTGTAAACAACAGAGGCCGTACCCTAAACACACCGAATTCAATTAGTCGCCCCTGCTACTGATAAGAACTTAAATTTGTTCTTGGAATTGACTGAAAACCTCTGACAAATCGGAGGTCACTTCTGTAACCGATTTAAACGACCACTCAATCATCAAACGCTGTCTGTTATTAGTGCACACTGGATCAGTGTATGAAAATAAACAATCTCACTGCCAAGATTTCCATGTTTCACGAGTGACATCACTTTCATCTGGTTTCCATTATACTCTCACTCACACTTATCCCCCCTCCACTCGATATCTGCACCCAATCACAACCGCCCACGACACAATAAAAACAATCGCGCCAACTACTTAATAAAATTTAATCCGACTGTCAATAGCCACCTAATTAGACCATCATGAAGGACGTCACCCCCCCAACCCGGCGAATAAACAAACCATTCGAAATTTAATATAAAATGCGTTCGAAAAAATTTAATTAAATCCGGACAAACAGCAAAGACGAGAAAAAATCCAACTTACTTCATAGATGGCGCCGCTCCCCTCTGCGCCGGCGGCCCTCTGCTGCTGAAGCGTCCCGGCGGCGGTCCGTCGCGGAATCCGTTTCGATTGCCACGTGGTCCGCCATTTCCGGCGTTCGCACCGCCGCCACCGCCGCCGCCGCCGCCGCCACGTCGCTCGTTTCCGGCACTACCCCAACCGCCGTACTCTTCGGCATAATAATCGTCGTAATTGTGCGGATCGTACGGATTTACGATTCCTTTAATTGGATTCTGGAACGGCGGAAGCAAATGGTCGTGGATTAGGCGAAGAAGAAAAAGAAGGGGGAAAGAAGGATTTTTTACGGTGAAACAAAGTTGGTGGAACCGGATCAGAACTCATTTTTGTGTACTCTTGGACAAGTGAAAACTTAGAAACCTGACTACAAGTTTCTTTTTTTCTACGATGTGATAATTATTTCGCACTTTCTACAAATACACTTTGTTAGTTTTTTTATTTCTGACCGGTTCGACCTTTTTGCATTCCACCTCGATCCTTACCGACTTGATGAGGGTGATGATCTCGCGGATGCTGTCGATGCACTTCGTCGGCTCGCCCACGATCTGGATGATCCGATCGGTGCTCTGCGGTGCCAAGTTGGAGAAAATCTTGATGCGGGCTCCGGTCTTCTGCAAAAGAAAAGAAAACGGGAACGTCAATTCGACGGAAAATGTTTGCGGTTTTAATTAATGGCGGGCGGAAAAGTTCGACGCCGAAGGGAGAAAGTTCGTTCGATTAATGCTGGTTATTGAAAAAGTGTTTTTGGGAGGGATTGAAAGTTGAAATTGTGTTAACGCGGTTTATGGGGTTGAGAGAATAGGTGTAGATTGTAACGCACGTCTAAGCCGGATTAAGTTATTGATTTATAATTAAATTTCTAGGATGGGTGAACAGAAGGTACGATCGGAGTTTCGGGCTGAAACGTGCAGCTTGCATAAAACAAGAAATTACGCATTTGGTTTATTGTGTTAATGTGAATTATTAACTTTAGGTTTTAACTAAAACACCAAACTAAGTGTTTTGTGTTTTCCGACAATGTTATCTCTGAGTACTTCCATGTGATAATTTTATCGGGGAGTTAAGTTTTCTTTATTGGCCATTTTATGGATAAACAATTAAGCGCACTTAAAATTAACCGGAAATGAGCTCACACAGATAACTACAAAGAAACAAAGTTACTTAAAACGACTCAATTTTTTTCACGTACTGTTGACCCTTCGTCCATCATAATTAACGGACACGATGCTGCAGAAAAACGAAAAAATGTTTTATCAAAACGTCCAACAAAATTTAAATTTCCGGATTAAGTCAAATCCTCCCTCAATGCATCCCGAAATTCTCGACTGGGAAAAGCGGAAATACGATCGTCAACGATAAAAAAAAGAAGCATTTTCGTACAATTTTCACGAGAGAGCGATAACAATTCATTTGGATTTTCAGCGAGTTACAGTAATTAATTAAAAGTTGTGTTATTCTCGAACGCGACATCCATTTTCTAATAGAATCACGTCATTTTTAATTAATTTGAATATAAATTGAGGTTATCTTTGCGTAATGTTCGGGGCAAGGGTAATTCTGTGGGAATTTATTACACTGCATGAGCTAAAAATCGAGGGTTATTTGATTAAATTTTATTTTCCAGTGATGAGTAAAATCTTCTCTGAAATTGTCATTTTTTTATTGTCTTACAACTCGAACTCTACAAAAAAATATCTTTGGGTAATTTTCGAAGTGCTCGAAAAATTGAAATTGTTAAAAGTTGTCTAAAAATTCTCAATTACAGATTTCGGGAAGCTGATTCGATAAATTTAAAGCATCAATGGTCCCAGACCAAGGTTTTCGAAAATCTGTTTGACAATGGGATTTTTAAAATTTTTGAAAATTGTCATTTTTTATTTATCAATAAATTCTGGAAAAAGTGGTAATTTTCGAAGAAGTCAAGCCTAATAGAACTTCTAGAAGTCGAATTCAACAAGAAAATGTCTTTGGGTAATTTTCGAAGAGTGCCCGAAAAATAATTAAAAAATTGATTTTGAAAATTCGAAATTTTTGAAAAGTTGCCTAAAAATTCTCAAAAAATAGCTCCGGAATAAGGGTTTCGAAAATCTGTTTGATACTGATTTTTTTTAAAATCCCGAAAATTGTCATTTTTATTTTTCAATAAACTCTGGAAAAACTATGGAAATTTTCGAAAAAGTAAAGCCGAATATGACTTCTGCAAGTCGAACTATTCAAGAAAACGTATTTGGGTAATTTTTGGAGTGTTCGAAAAAGTAAAAAAAAAAATAATAATTTCGAAAAATTGACATTTTTGAAAAGTTGCCTAAAAATGTTCAAAAATTCTGACATATAGACCTCGAGAAACTGATTCGAAAAATATGAAGCGTCAACGGTACCAGACCAAGGTTTTCGAAAATCTGTTCGATAATAAGATTTTTCAAATTTTTGAAACTTCAAGAAGTCGAACTCTACAAGAAAATGTCTTTGGGTAATTTTCGAAGAGTGCTCGAAAAATAATTGAAAAATCAAAATTTTTTAAAAGTTGCCTAAAAATCCTCAAAACATTCTCAGATACAGATCTCGAGAAGCTGATTCGAAAAATATGAAACATCAGTGGTCCCAGACAACGAATTTAAAAAAATCTCGAAAATTGTCGTTTTTTTCTTTTATCAATAAATTTTGGAGAAATTGTGTAAATTTTCGAAAAGTCAAGTCAAAAGTAACTTTCATAAGTCGAACTTTACAAAAAAATGCCTTTGGATAATTTTTGAAGATTGCTCAAAAAACGGTTAAAAAACTCGTTTTGAAAAATTGAAATTTTTTACGGTGCCTAAAAATCCTCGAAAAATTCTGGGATATAGATCTCGCGAAGCTGATTCAAGAAATATAAAGCGTCAATGGTCCCAGACCAAGGTTTTCGAAAATCTGTTCGATAATATAATTTTGAAAATTTTTGAAAATTGTAACTTTTTATTTTATCAATAAATTCTGGAAAAATTGTGGCAATTTCCGAAGAAGTCAAGCCGAATATAACTTCTAGAAGTCGAACTCTACAAGAAAATCTCTGGTTAATTTTCGACGACTGCTCGAAAAATTTAAAAATTAATTTTGAAAAATCGAAATTTTTGAAAAGTTGCCTAAAAATTCTCAAGAAATTCTCAGTTACAGATCTCGAGAAGCTGATTCGAAAATATGAAGCGTCAGTGGTCCCAGACCAAGCTTTTCGAAAATATGTTTGACAATGAATTTGTAAAAACACTCGAAAATTGTCGTTTTTCTTTTTATCACTAAATTTTGGAAAAATTCTACAAATTTTCGAAAAATCAAGCCGAATATAACTTCTAGAAGTCGAACTCTACAAGAAAATGTCTTTGGGTAATTTTCGAAGAGTGCTGAAAAAATAAAATAGACTCATTTTGAAAAATCGAAATTTTTGAGAAAAGTTGCCAAAAATCCTCAAAAAAATCTCAGACACAGATCTCGAGAAGCTGATGTGAAAAATATGAAACGTCAAAGGTCTCAGACCAAAGTTGTCGAAAATATGTTGACAATGAATTTTAAAATTGGCGTTTTACATTTAATTAATAAATTCTGGAAAAATTGTGGAAATTGTCGTAAAAGTCAAGCCGAATGTAACTTCCACAAGTCGAACTTTACAAGAAAGTGTCTTTAAATAATTTTTGAAGATTTTTAAAAAACGGTTAAAAAATTCGGTCTGAAAAATTGAATTTTTTTAAAAGTTGCCTAAAAATTCTCGAAAAATTCTGGGATATAGATCTCGAGAAGCTGATTCGAAAAATATGAAGCGTCAATGGTCCCAGACCAAAGTTGTCGAAAATCTGTTTGATAATAATATTTTTTGAATTTCTCGAAATTGTCATTTTTATTTTATCAATAAATTTTGGAAAGATTGTGGAAATTTTCGAATAAAATCAAGTCGAATGTAACTTCTACAAGTAGAACTTTACAAGAAAATGTCTTTGGATAATTTTCGAAGATTGCTCAAAAAACGTTTAAAAAACTCGTTTTGAAAAATTGAAATTTTTTAAGGTGCCTAAAAATTCTCGAAAAATTCAGGGTTATAGATCACAAGAAGTTGATTCAAAAAATATGAAGCGTCAATAGTCTCAGACCAAGGTTTTCGAAAATATGTTTGACAATGAATTTTTAAAAACACTCGAAAATTGTTGTTTTTCTTTTTATCAATAAATTTTGGAAAAATTGTGGAAATTTTCGAAGAATTCTGGAAAAATAATTACAAAATTCATCATTTTGAAAAATCGAAATTTTTGAAAAGTTGCCTAAAAATCCTCAAAAAATTCTCAGATACAGATCTCGAGAAGCTGATTCGAAAAATATCAAACGTCAATGGTCTCAGACTAAGGTTTTCGAAAATACGTTGACAATGAATTTTTAAAAAATTGCGAAAATTGTCGTTTTACATTTAATCAATAAATTCTGGAAAAATTGTGCAAATTTTCGTGAAAGTCAAGCCGAATGTAACTTCCACAAGTCGAACTTTACAAGAAAATGTCTTTGGATAATTTTCGAAGACTACTCAAAAAACGTGAAAAAAATCATTTTGAAAAATTGAAATTTTTTAAAAGTGGCCTAAAAATTCTCGAAAAATTGTGGGATATAGATCTCGAGAAGTTGATTCGAAAAATATGAAGCATCTTGGTCCCAGACCAAGGTTTCCGAAATCTGTTCGATAATGAATTTTTAAAACTTTTGTAAATTGTCATTTTTTACTTTAACAATAATTCTGGAAAAATTGTGGCAATTTTCGTAGAAGTCAAGCCGAACATAACTTCTAGAAGTCGAACTCTACAAGAAAATGTGTTTCGGTAATTTTCGAAGAGAGCTCGAAAAATAATTAAAAATTAATTTTGGAAAATCGAATTTTTTGATAAGTTGCCCAAAAATCCTCAGAAATTCTGAGATACAGATCTGGAGAAGCTGATTCGAAAAATATGAAGCGTCAATGGTTTTAGAACAAGATTTTTGAAAATCTGTTTGATAATGACTTTTATAAAAATCCCGAAAATTTTCGTTTTTTATTTTTCAATAAATTCTGGAAAAGCTATGAAAATTTTCGAAAGAGTCAAGCCTAATATAACTTTTACAAGTCTAAGTTTTCAAGAATATGTATTTGGGTAATTTTCAGGTTCGAAAAACTACAAAAAAAAAAAAAACATTTCGAAAAATTAAATTTTTTTAAAGTTGCCTAAAAATGCTCAAAAATTCTGAGATATACATCTCGAGAAACTAATTCGAAAAATATGAAGCGTCAACGGTCCCAGACCAACATTTTCGAAAATATGCTTGACAATGAATTTTTAAACACATCTCGAAAATTGTCGTTTTAATTTATCAATAAATTCTGGAAAAATTGTGGGATTGTTCGAAAAAGTCAAGCTAAATATAACTTCTACAAGAAAATGTCTTTGGGTAATTTTCGACGTGTACTCGAAAAATAATTAAAAATTAATTTTGAAAATTCGAAATTTTTGAAGTTGCCTAAAAATCCTCAAAAAATTCTCAGATACAGATCTGGAGAAGCTGATTCGAAAAATATGAAGTGTCAATGGTTTTAGAACAAGGTTTTTGAAAATCTGTTTGATAAATG